TGAGGAAGCGATGGAATTGCTTCACAGCCATGCGGCTGCTTCACACAACCGGTTTGGAACGTCACAAGGTCAACTGTTGAGTCCTTTGCAGCGAGCTTTGGGTGAGAGTCACACGCCTCACTTGTTGTTTCCTTTCGCTTGCATCATGTACATTCAGCCCCCAGAACACCTTGCATCACAAGTTGATGGTCGATACGACATTGGTGCCTATCTCGGCCCCGTGATTGGTGGGCAAGGGCATCACTGCATGATCAGACTCTCAAATGGGTCTATGAAAAGATGCGTCGCCCGGGCTCTCAAGATGGCCTACCCAGTGACGTTCTCGTCGAACTTGTTACCCACTATCGCCGAGGCTAATCCTGATGAGCCTGATTATGAAAGCCTACCAGGGGTGGCCCTACCGAGGAAAGCAATCCCGTTGCCGCAACCGGCGCCTGAATGGCTTGAAAACAACAAAACGGCACGTTGTCCGGGATGCTTAGGTAGATCGCGCTTCCACTCTAGGCGTTGCAAAGTTCGCTTTCGTGATTACATCAGGGATACGCTCGGTGACCTTGACAATCCTGAACAGCAACAAGCCCCTGAAAAGCCTCAAGTAAAAATCAACCCGAACCCTGAAGTTGTGGAGTTTGAAGAAGAGAGCTTGGACTACGAGCCCAGTCTTCCTGGGTCTCCTGTTCCTGAGGATCTGCAGCACCTGGTGCCCGAACCCTCACAAGCAGCCCAAGACTCTGAGCTCCCTCAGGAGTATCTCCCTGGTGGGGACGTTGAGATGGATCAGGTTGATATGGACGACTACACTGTGCCCATGGATGTTGCTCAGGTCCCGGATGTCCTTGACAGTACGAGCATGCCTCAGTTCATGTTCTCAGTGATTCCGGACCAGAAGCATCACCTGAGTCCTGTTGATTACGGTGAGGTCGGCTTGTTTGCTGCTCAGCTTAAGAGAAAAGCACCCGCTCAGCACAGTAACCCCGATGAGGGGGTAGCCATGCCTTTCGGTGATCGGGAGGTGTGGGTCATCAAGCCCACTTCTGTGGTTGATGATGTCAGTGGCTTGCCTTTGGATCCTGAGAAAACGTGGGTTGGCATGCAGAAAGAGGTGTCTGCTATGCACAACTTGGGTGTCGGCAACGCCCGCACCTATGATGAGATTAAGACCCACTGCCAGGAGACAGGTGCCAAGATCATTAAGTCGCGTTTTGTCTTCACTGACAAGGTTGATGTTGACGATCAGCACATTGTGCGTGCGCGCCTTGTTGCAAAAGACTTTGCTTTCAATCAACCTTCGGCGCTTGACTTGGGCATTGCGAGCCAGACTGCTTCTGTGGAGGCCTTCAAGGCTTTCATCTGTCGTGTTGTCCAGGATACGCTTGTCCTTTGGGGACTTGACGTTTCGACTGCCTTCTTGTATGCCAAGTTGGTTCTTGATACCGTGCTTGAGTTGCCGGGATGCTTTCAGAACCTTGATGGCTCTAAGGTTTACGTCATCCTGGAGAAAGCCATATATGGCTTGAGATCGGCAGGCCTTTCGTGGCAGAAGCATCTTGCTGGACTTCTTGCTGAGTTGGGATTGTTTCCTTCTCTTATTGAACCTACGTTGTACAAAGGGTATTGGGGAGACATCCTTGTGCTTTGTCTTGTGTACGTCGACGACATCTTGCTAGCCACAAGAACGAAAGAGGCAAACCAACAGCTTCTAGACTTCCTCATGGGCCGTCTTAAGGTCAAGTTGACTGGACGCTTGGATGAGGACGGCAGGATCGGATTCCTAGGCCGTGAGATAATCAAGCGTGGCCATGAGATCTTGTTGGCTGTGAAGAAAGAATACGTCGATTCGATCTTCGAGGCTTTTGGGTGGAGCCAGGAGAACCGCAGGAAGATGAAGCCCTGCACTGCACCACCAGACCTCCGATCGATCCTTGACAAGGAAGACCCCGAGAAGCCCTCCGAAGAGCTCTCCCCTGAAGCCGCGAGCCGCTTTAGAAGCACCCTAGGGAAACTAGGCTGGCTTGTGCAAACCAGGGGGGATTTGTGTTATTTTCACTCCATGCTGTCTAGAGGTCAAGCCTGTCCGCGCGCTGTGCATGAGGATTGTATGCGTAAAGTGCTCCGTTGGCTTTTGGAGGTTCCCGATCTTGTTCAGGTCTTTCAGAAGGACTCCAAAGCTCAACCTGGGACTGCAACCCTCGTTGGATTCAGCGACGCTAATTGGGCCTCTGAGCGCTCTACTGGACGGAAGAGCACCAGCGGAGGAGTGATTTACCTGAATGGGAATTGTATCAAGACTTACTCGAGGCTCCAGCCTATCGTAGCACTCTCCAGTGCGGAGTCTGAGCTTTTCGCTATGGTTGAGATGGCGCGCGAGCTTGTAGGATTGGGGCAGCTTTTGGGCCACCTTTTCGAAAGCGTTGCGCAACCCCTATACCTGCCTACGGACAGCTCTTCCGCTCGCCAAGCAGTATGATGTCCGGCTTCCTGAGAAGGATGCGTCACGTGGACCTTCGTCTTTGCTACTTGCAGGAAGCGTCTCGGTTCAAGGAAAAGTAGCGGTGGGCCCTTGCTTGGGCCTGGGCTGGTTTTTGTTCAGGGCACCCGGGGTTTCCCCCTCCTCTGGTTTCCTCTTCGCCCTGTTCGTTCGGCCTTTGCAAGGTGTAGGGGCGGGGTAGCGGCAGATAGCACCAACCGGTGCTGGTAGTGCCATTGTGCGTCGCCCCGGCTGCCCGGGCTCTCTCAGCTTCTGCCACGGAGCTGCTGCATCTGAAAGCCATTGCACTCGATCAGGTCATTGATCAGGCTCAGGGACACTCGGCTTACGCGGCCCGTCTCGCTAGCAACTTGTGGCGGCCCTTGAGTGCAGCCAACTTCTTCGTTTCAGCTTTGGAAATTTTGCCTCGGCCCAGCGGTCTTTTGCTGATTGCGTACGCCACCAGGAATTTTCCTACACTGACAGAGGAAGCAGAGAGGGAGCTCGGAGCTCCACTGATCTCGTGCCTGCAAACAGGCCACCTGAGACTATGAGATCCTGCCGGTTGCCTTTTGCCAATCTGATTTTGTGCTTGATTTCCATAGGGATTTGCTCGCATTTAGTGGCAGATTTTCAACTGTGGCTGATCTTTCCCTGCTTGCTGGCGTGCCGTGGCACACCGAAGATGGAGGCCGATCGAGCCTCGCTCGAGCCTGGGCCTAGCCAGTTGTCAGCTGAAGCACCGCCTTTTGTGCCCTTTGCTCCAGCACCGCCTGTTGATTGCAACATCGCCTCAGCCCTGCCTTGGATAGCAGCCAGTGGAGATGCTGACACCCACGGTGCATCAATGGCGACTCTGCCGCCAGGCCTGACCCTGGAATCAACAGCCCAGAGCCTTGCGCATGATTTTGCCTTCGATTTTGACTGTGCCAGGCCTCAACCCATTGCACCTGCAACCAGTGAGCCTGCAGAGCCCACGCCCTCACATGCACATGCGCATCCGCCTGAGCATCGCAGCCGAGCTGTGCCACCCGGGCCGACCTTAACCTCTAACCCCCTCGCTTGCAGGACGGATGATCGGACACTGCCGCGTGCGGAGTCTTTGCCGTCACAGCCTGAGTCTCGCTCGTCAGTGCCAGGATCCACGCTGCCAGCCCACAGGACTTTTGATCTGGAGCCACCTGCCTACAGCCTGTTTGCCTGGCCCGCGCCGTTTGTGTCAGCACAGCCTCATTGGACACAACAGTTGTTACCTGCTCTTGCCTGTGACCCCCTAGCAGCTCATTTTCCTTGGCCCGCCGACAGGTATCCGAACTACTTTGACACCGGACCTCCTGGCTGGGAGCAGCTGCCCGAGCCTCCAGTTGTTCACTGCACTTCGGGTCTTTCGGGTTATTCTGGGGGAGGGGGATCGGCTCTGCGAGCTCGGCCCGCAACCTGGCCTTCAGGCCTGCTGACTGCTGTCAGCCCGTGGCCCTCTGCACATGACCCGGCACATGCTTATGCCAGGCCTCCGTCAGGCCAGCTGGATGCACACTTGCATAGATGGACGCAGCAGAGCTTGCCTCAACCGATGCACCAGCCCTGGCGCTCTACTTTGGCCTTGAATTCCTTAAGCCCTGACCCGGCGACCTGCAGGCCACATGAGTGCGCGCCGCCCTCGACAGATTCTCTGCCGCCGCGGCCTGAAAGTCACATGCCTGGAGCAAGCTCGTGCTTTGACGATCGCAGGGCTGCGGCCCATACACCGGCTACACTGCCACAGCCTGTGCACCACAGCCACGGTTGCAGCACAGGACCTTTGGCCCTTGACCCGCATAGGCCTAGCGCCGGAGTGCCCAAGGCAGCCGATGCCCTACACTGCAGCCGAAGTCCACCGGATGATGCTGATCCAGACGAACTGCTTCTCAGGATCTATGCCAGGATGGTGAGACCCCCGCCGGGATTACTGGCACCGCCGAGTGCAACACACAAGCCGTCGGCAGCCTCGACCTCAGCAGCTGAAGCCGGAGCAACCGAAGTGCCAGATCACAGGACAATAGCTTGGTACCGACACTCAGGCCCGCATGAGCAGGCCACCGCTACAGCACAGAGCTTTATCTCAACCCGCCCCGGTCCCAAGTCCGGGGGTGGGACAGCACACTTAGTTGAGAAGATCCAACATGAACCCACAGACGCGAGGGTTGAACTCGGGACCGCGAGTTCTGAAGCCCCCTCAGGTTTCGCACCAGTTGATGCCAAGGCGAAGCCAGGTCCATTTGCCCGATTGCATCACCGCAAGCAAGCGCTACGAAAAGCCCAAACCATAGCAGCACGACACGGATTTGCGTACTATCGCGGCCAGGTCCTGACATCAGCTCACTTGCAAGTGCCTCGGACCTCGACCACCGATGCCCTCAAGGATGCACAGACCCAGCCGCAACCCTCGAAGCACCCACGCCGTAGGCCTCAAGCCCCGGAAAGGAGATGCCGATTTGTGACGTGGAACTCCAGCGGCCTTACAGGGCTAATCTGGACCGAGCTCCAGGCATGGATGCAGCTCAATGCCCAAACGTTCGATATTCTCTGTGTTCAGGAAACCTACTGGCGAGAAGATCGCCAATGGAGCGACGCTGGGTGGACATACATCCACCATGGGAGCGGCCAGAACAAGGAGGCCGGGCTACTCGTGTGCGTGGCTAAGACCTTTGCCCCTGAAACCGCGATTAGGCACACTCCTACCGTACCCGGCAGGCTGCAACATATTCGCATCTTCCCCTCGAAGGGGCACCAGCCACTTGATGTTCTGCATGTGTATCAATATGCTTGGTATCACCGAAAAAGGGATAACCCCGGCGACTGGTGGGCTGACTGCCTCAATCGACGGGCGGGTTTTCTGCACAAACTCAGCTCGGCCCTCAAGGGGATACCCCAGAGAAATGTGCTGTGCGTGCTGGGCGATCTCAACACACAGCTTCTGCCGAAAGGAGGTGTGGTCGGAACGGGCGTCCCACCGAGCCCGGGCCCTCATCTTGATGTGCCCGAGCTCACCAACACCTTGGAGACCTTTGGCCTGCTGGCTCTGAACACGTTCGGGCCAAGCCCAGGCAGCACATTCATCAATGAGAGCAACGGCACCCAATCCCAAATCGACTACATCATTGCCCGCTCGGCCCACAGTGACAAAACCAGCCGTCAAGCTGCCACCATTGCAGACTGGCCGGTCGGTGCGGCCCGACTTGGTATGAAACACCTGCCCTTGCAAGGCTCTCTGCCTCTGAACTGGTGCCCCTGGAACCTCACTGCACGAAGACCCCCTGCTGTGCGCCCCCACAAGGTCGTGGCTGAGTTGGGGGCGAACCCTGCTCTACAGGCCACCTTCGAGGCCCACCTCCGTGCCATCCTGCCCCCAAACGCTTCAATCCAGGACATTGATCGTACCCTCCAGGATGTGTGGCTACAGCTTTGTCCGGCAACAGCCGGCAACAAGCAAAGCCGAGACAAGAATGAGCAGGCAGGCGCACCACAGCTTCATACGGCACCTCGCATATGGGAACTCAGGGCAGAGAAGCGGCGACTGGCCGAGGACACCAGCCTGCATGGTCAACTTGCCCACTGGCGAACCTCAGTTCGGCTGAGTGAGCTCGAACGTGCCGCAGGTGCAGCCCGCAGGCACCGTAAGCGACAGTTCCTTCTGGACCAAGTGGAGCAGGCCGAAACTGCTGCCGGCAAGGGCCACCTTTCCAAGGTTTATGCGGTGGTAAGGCGCCTTGCACCCAAGAAGGTCAACTTGAGGCTTCATGTTCGCACTCCGGAGGGACACATGCAGGGACCCCAAGCAGAACGTGAAACATTGCTGGCCCATTTTCGTGATCTCTATCGGGCTCCTGAGGCACAGCCCCACCGTGTCCTGCCATGCCAGGAGCCCCTGTTCACACCCGCTGGTTGCACAACAGCCCTGGCCCGGCTCCCAGCACAGAAAGCCGCACACCCGAAAGCCGCCCCAGGGATACTGTGGAAGCTTGGTGCCACGACTTTGGGCCCCATGCTCAGCCGCATCCTCAACGATTCCTATGCCGAGGTGCCCTGGAGACTCCCGATTGAGCTCAGACAAGTTGCCCTCTGCTTGGTTCCCAAGCCAGGGCGCCGTGCACAACAACCGGCCGACGCACGGCCGATCAGCCTCATTCACCCGGCCAACAAAGCGCACGCCTCGATGCTGAATGAGCTCCTTGCGCCATTCCTACTCCCGTACCTAGCCTCGTCGCCACAATTCGCGTACTGTCATGGGCGCTCAACTGCCGAAGCTCTTCACCGCGTCTACTCGCACTTCTTTGCTGTTCGCGCAAAGGCCCCAGTGCGAGCACGCATGGTCCAGCGCCGCCAGGACCGCACTGTCCAGCACCCGTGCACTGGTGGGATAAGCTTCTCACTGGACGTTGCTCAGGCCTTCGACTCCATACCTCGTTGGGTGATTGTTGCCGCATTGAGGGCAGCCGGAGCCCCAGAGGATATGATCACCCAGATTGTCACCCTTCATGCGCAGATTGTGCTTGAAATCGATCACGGGGGAGATGTTGCAACTTGCCACACAGCCCGGGGTGTGAGACAGGGATGTCCCCTTTCCCCGTCACTCTGGGCTGCTGCGACCACCTTTGTCTATCATCGTCTCCTGGAAGCTCTAGGCCCCGACGCGTCGCAAGTCATCACAATGTTCGCCGACGACGTGATTGGCCAGTGGCGCATCACATCCCCGGAGGCACTCCAAGATGGACTCGAGCAGATTCGTAGGATGGTCAGGGTACTCCAACATCATGGGTTTCGGGTCAGCCCGACCAAGAGTGTGATCCTGCTGCAGGTCGATGGCCCCAAAGCCTCGCAAATTCTCGGAAAACTTCGTTTTCGGGAGCAGGGGCAGCCCAGGCTACGATTGGCCACAGACCTGTCTTTTCCCATCGTTCGCAGACACACCTACTTAGGCATGATCATTGGATATGGGGCGTTCGAGCACCATTCGGTAGCCTATCGATGCAAGCGTGCCACCCAGGTCTTCGCACGGCTGCGACAGGTGCTCTGTGGGCGCCACAGCCTCAGCATGCACAATCGCATCCGGCTGTGGCGAGCGATCGTGTGGCCTTCATTGCGATACGGCCTCTCCACCCTGCCGCTGGAGCCCAAGTCACTGCAGAGAGTGCAAGGAGTTGCCGCCAGACAGCTCCGAATCATCACGCACAGCCTGGGACACGAAACTCACAAAACTAACCTGGAGCTGTTCGCTGAGCTCCGGTTCCACCCTGAGTCACTTCTGCGTGCAGAAGCCCAAGCTAACAAAGATCGATTCGAAGCTCTGTCTGAGGCCCTGCAGCTAGAACGTACACGCCAATGGCATCACCTTCTTCTAGCCTCCTTGGCGAGATCCCCAGACGAGCCTGTTCATTCACAGCCCCAGCCGCCACCAGCGAACGAAACTTCGGCTGACACAGAGCAGGCCACGCAGGCACCCCCGGTGCCGGTGAATCGCACACACTTCTCAGGACAAAGTCGGAAGCTCAGCCCAGCAAGAGTGCCGGCCAAGCTCGTTGAGGTAGGCGAAGTGACCCGCCCCTTTGCGTGTCCGGATTGTCCCTGCACCTTTGCCACAGCAGCCACTTTGCAAACTCACAGAGCCCAGAAGCATGGAGCCATCAAACGTGGCACAGTCAGGCGAGCCACCCAGCAGCAGAACCAGGTGGAACATTCCTTAGGTGGGGTCCCTACATGCCGCTATTGTCTTAAAGAATTCAATGGCTGGCGCAATTTTAATTCGCACATACTCTTCGATAATTGCCCGAAGCGTCCAGCTGACTCTGCCGATGCAGTTCCAGCACACCCGGTGCAAGTTGAGAGTACCCATCTGCTAGGACATTCGTGTCGGGATGGGAGTTCCGATGTGCCTGCACCCACCCTGGAAACACCGCCCGCTGCCCAGGCTACCCCCGACTTCTGCGCCAGATTGGTTGATGAACCGGCCATAGCTACCCTAGAGACTGTTGCCAAACGTGACTGGAAACACATCACGGGTTTACAATCTTTGCATGCGCGCATGGAACATCACTGCCCTGAGTGTCGCCTTTGGGCTGCCGACTCCTCTAGAGTGAAGGTGCATTTCAGAGCCAAGCACAAGACCTTGCACAGCCGGCTCGAGCAAACAGAGGCAGCAGCCAAAGGCATAGCGGTGGGCAACCCTTGTCGCTTTTGTGGCAAGCAATATCGTTCTGCCCCCAGTCGACATGCCGTAGGCTGCCACGTGCTCTGGCAGTCCATCTATGCCAGCCTTGAATCTATCAACTCCGACTGCCCTCCTATGCACTCAGGTTCAGCTGAGGATGACCGCAACCGAGATGGAGCAGGAGGACAGTCAGGAGTGGGAGCTGTACTCCAGGTTCATGGCAAACCAGCCGGCACCCAAGCTGAGCCGCCCATTGCCGTCGGCTTCGGAGAACGACCAGACACCGGCCAAACAGCTGAAGACCCAGACACAACCAAAGGGCAAGGGAAAGGGAAAGGGAAAAGGGAAAGGACAAGGGCCGCGGCAAGAAGCAGCTCACCAAGGACGAACAGCAGGAGCTGCTGGACCTTCGCCAGCTGTGCGAACAGCTGATCAGACTGGCAATGCGCCACGAGGACAGCATCAAGGCACTCCAGCTCGACACATCGTTCGTGCTTTGGCTGCGGGTGGGATTGCCGGGCGGCCTCCCCGAGAGCCTCCATCAAGCTGCCGAGACATGGAGAACGGATCGAGATCAGGGCTTGGCTCGCACCTCCCTGCGGCATCATCTGTGGCTCCACCTTTGGAAGGAGTTTCAGCGTCGCCTCACCCCGGCGCTCCTCACAGCCGAGATCCAGTCCTTGATGACGAAGCTGGGTTATTTGAAGGACGGACACTGGGCCTTCCTCCGCTGGGAGGCCAACGAGGAGACAGGAGGACGGCTGATCCCGGACACCGAGAAGAAGTCGCTGAACATGCAGGAGGTCAGGGAGTCAGTAGATCACATCGTGCGTTTGAGCCAGGACGCGGAGCTGATCACGCGCTTCTGCCCGACGCGTCCACTAGCAGCCGAACTGAAGGGACAGTCCATTACATTCCTGTGCTCGATTGCCAACCGCTCGGCGCCCTCACACCAGCTACACGCAGCATTGCAAACCCTGTGCTCCAATGCCAGTTGCCAAGTTCTGGGCATGGCGATCAAACCAGAACGCCTCGCTCGGAGCCCACTGGCCAATGCTCTGGCTCGGCAGCTTCCAGCAGCCCAGTCGCGGACTCAGCAGCTGCTAAAGCACTCACGAAAGTGCCTAAATCCCTAGCCGTTTCATGCCCAACCGCCCTTCCTGCCCCTAATGCCCCTAATGCCCCTAATGCCACGCGTCACCCTCAACCCAAAGCTCAGGTGAACAGGCAACACGTTCTGAAGGCCCGACTTTTGAACCAGTCCAACGTTTGCTATTCCAATTGCACCACGTTGTGCCTGTTATGGTCACACTATCAGTGCCGGCAGGATCTCCTGCCACGAGCTTTGATAGCCTCTCTCGAGGCTCTGCTAAGGATGCCTAAACCCTTTATGCTTTGGGATCTTTGGCCGTTCAAGCAACTGCTTCATCACTGGAGGGCCCCGGGACTGCAGCACGACGCAGCTGAGTTTCTCAAATCCTTCCAGGTGGGAGCCAATATGAACGCTTTGAGTGGAGTATGGCAAGCACGCACCACTGAAGGAGAGGTGCGATACCTGGGAGACACCTCTCCCCTGCCTTTGTCGGTGCCCCTGGTTGCTGGCGCTACGGTGCAAGAACTTGTGAACTCATGGACTGCCCAAGCCCAGGTCCATGCGCTGTGGCATCCTCCTGAGTGCATAGCTTTGCAGCTTTCGCGATACGGCCCGCATGGTAAACTTCACACCCTCTTAAGGCTTGACGATGAAGTGGTGCAAATTCCTAGCTTTGTTGCATCGGACACTCGTGTATGCAATGTCGCATATAAGCTGCAAGCCGTCGCGGTTCACTTGGGAAACACTCCTACGGAGGGCCATTACCGAGCTGCCTTGCTGGACGAAGGCAACAAACTCTGGTATGCAGACGACGGCAAACCCGCCACTCTTGCAAATGCCAAAATCAGGCATGAGATTCAAGCCAACTGCTATGTTCTCTACTTAACTCGAGTGTAACCTCACTGCTCGGTAGTGGCTGCCTGCTGCGCCACAACACTCTTGTAGCACAACTGTGGAGGCTGACCTTTCGGCCCACGGTTTTTACAGCGTACTTGCACCAGAGGACTCTTCAGCTTGAGCTTCGCTCGTTGTGGCCAGCACCTAGCGCTGGGTGCGAAAGCAGGTGACTGTCTTCTGACAACTACCTCTTGTCACAACAACACAGCAAGTGCTTTTGCAGTCCGTAGTTTTGGGTAGGTTCACGTCGTGATCCGAAAATTCGGATCACGAGTGTAGCGCTTTTGAGCTGAAAGCAGCTCTCCTGCGGTGTACCAAGTGAGTGCACCTCGGGCTCGCAGGTGGACAGCTACTTGTCCCGCGGTTCAAAGTCAAAAAAAAAAAGCTACTTGCAGGATAAGGTTGAGAACGGCGAGATCCTGGTTACACACGTCCCAGGAACGGATAACGTCGCCGACTTGCAAACAAAGAACTTGAGTGTCGGGCAAACTTGGTATCATATAGGACAGTTGTGTCTTGAGGAACGTCTCACCCGTAGTGACTATCTTCGAGGTGATGCGCCCCCGGTCCGTTGCCTTGTGTTTGCCGCGTTCAAAGGTCTGTTTTCTGCAAGCGTCGATGATCCTTGGAGTGTGTTGGTTGGTCGTTGTCGGTTGCAGACACCGCATTACATTGTGATGGTCGAGTTCTGCACCTCTGGAGAAGCCTGGTTGACTAAGCTTGCTAGCCACTATGGCATCCATGCTATTCCCGTGACGGAAGAAACGGATGGGACTCTTCCGGAGACCATCGAGCTCATTGAGCATGCGCTTCGTTCGGCGCACCGTCGGAACATGCATGTTGTTGTGTGGGCTTCGACGCCCTGTACCGGTGGTTCGCCTTGGCAGCGGTATCACCAAGCCCGATCTGCAGATCACTATGATGAAAGGATGAAAGGACTTTTCACAGTCCACCGAAAGCTCTGGAAGAGCTTCTTGAGGCTAGTCAACACATCTGATTCGGCAACTTGGGTCATTGAGTGGCCGCAACGTTGTGCTTACTGGGGATGGTCCGCTACGAAGTCATTCCTTAAGATCAATCCGCATGAGACCGCTCTTGTGCATGGTTGTGCTTGCGGCATGGTTGGAATGGACGCACTTCCTGTGAAGAAGGTTTGGAGGTTGTGCTCGAACAATCATGTTCTCATTCACTGCATGGATAAATTAAAGTGCCCTGGAAACCACGAGCATAGTAAGATGTTCGTTCTGAAGAACACCCAGCACTACCCCGAAGCTTTTGCTCACACAGCTCTTAGGGCTTTGAGTGCTTGGTAGGTGCTGACGCCTCTTTGTACAGCCGCAGCCACTTTTGGAAGAGCCATAAAACTATCGTGGACCGTGAGAAGATCTACGAGCCCAATACGCAACAGCAGCCACTGGACCGGTACCTTTTCTCGACGACAGGTTCATGAGGGGGAGTTGATTTTCAATCCTGGCTCAAGGCCATGAGTGCTCAAGCCTCCAGTGCCGTCGTGGCCGCCAGCCTTGAGGCCGTAACTACGGGTGGGTCCTTAACAGGCTCGAACCTAACCGCTTGTTTCCTCGTAGGCTGCCTGTGCAGCAGGGGCGGGGTAGGTGCAGTTCCGGCTCAAGCCGAAGAGCAGTAGTTGCCATGGTGTGACACTTCCATGTGATTTTCTTGATTTTGCATGGTTTGGTCGGTTTGGCTTGAATTTTGCAGTGCAATTTCTTGCGACAAGTTTTGGCCGGCCCTCCTCGCGGAAGGGAGTTCTCCTGTAGGCGAACAGGCTGAGCAGTACTTACCTCTAGGGGCGTTGGTCTTCACTGTGGCTGCCGGTCTTTCAAGCACCTTTGTAGGAAACCTGTTCCTCTTTGCCCTTTGGACGATGCCCGTTTTGCCGCTTCTTTTCCAGTTAGCAGGCCCTAGTCCTCGCCTTAGGGCTGAGGACTGTGTGCTCGAAGCGGCTTTGTTTTATGCCTCGCTGGTCAGTGGGTTGCTTTCCCGGCCTGGACGTGGCACGCGCACTCATGACAGGCTGGCCTTCCCATGTGTGGTGTCATGCAGAAGGTTCAGTCTGGACCACTCGTGGGCTTTTGCTGAGCATCAGCAACTGCAATTGCCTGGGGTTCTTTGTAGGGTTGTGCTAGCCCTTGTTCCCTTTCATGCCTTTGCAGGTGCCATGAGGGGTTTTGCTGCATCCTAAACCCGCGCCTCGATTCTTTTGAGGCATGCTCTTATTATGCCCTGCAGCACGTCCCCGTCTGTTGTAGGCAGCTGTCGCTGCTGGGCGCAGGGACTCTGTGTGGCTTCCTGCTCGCTCCCGGCGTGGTTTCGCCTACTTTTGGCTGGTGGTGAGTTGTTTTAGGCACTAGGTGTGCAGCTTCCTGCTTGCTGACTGCACTTGGTGAGGACACGCGCCGGCGTGTGATCCTGCATAGCCTAGTTAGTTCTCGGCCAGCTGCCCGTGTGCAGAGGACTTTCGCCTTTAGGGGTTTAGGATGCCCTTAGTTGTTTGCCTCGCCTGCAGGCTGAGGTAGGTTTGGGCCCTCTGTTGGGATGTATGTGGCCTCCCAGCAGGCTCGCGCGCTAGCAGCAGTGAGCAGTCTTCCCTGACTCTGTGACTGCTCTTCTGCTGGCCTTGGGTTTAGGGCTGGTTTTAGGGATAGTTTCTCCGCCATGCTGTCTGCTTGCTGACAGTGGATGGCCGCACAGGCTGAGTAGGCTCCCTCCCCTTGCCTTGGTTTGCCCGCCTTCGCCCAGTAATTAGTTTTCTGGGTGTTCTTATAGGCACGCCATGGGTCTCACCTGGCAGCTGACAGGGATCGTCTCGTACCTCCTCACTGGGCAAGTTGAGGCAGCGAGGTGCCTTTCCGCAGTCGCTCTTGCACTCCTCGCCTTAGGGCTGAGGATGTAAGGGTGATAGGCTTTGGTTTTTGCATTTGTGTAGTCTGTGATCTGCAGTCCAGATTGCCAGTTTGGCCCCTTCCCTTGAAGCAGTCAGAGGCTTCCCAGGGAACAGCCTGGTTCCTTTCCCTCAGGTAGGGAAGGTCCCCTGCTGTGCGGGCCTCAAAGTTTTGCCCTTTCCCTAGTGAGCAGTCAGCAGGTTTACTGGGAGCAGTCTTCGGGCTTCAAAGTCTCCACTCGCAGAGAGCATAGCAGGGCGTTGTTCCCTGCGCCAGCACGAAGTTGAGTTGAAGGGAAAGCGTCGCTCCCTGCGCCTTGTTGAGGGGAGTGCGTGGGCCCCGCGCTAAAGGTACCGAATTGAGGGGCGCTGCTCTGTGCAAGGTGAGGTTGAGGAACCCCTGGGCTGTGAGGGCTTGAGGCTAGGCACTTTACGGCATGCCGCCTCGCCTAGCTTCACTGAGTGACCTCGCCTCAGGGCTGAGGTCACTGCAAGCTGAGTGCCAGACTGAGGGTAGTGTCAGTTAGGTTGTACAGCTTTCACCTCTCACTGTTCGGCTTGAGCACCTGTCAGGGTTTGTCTTTCCAAATGGGCTTGAGGAGTCTTGTCACTCTCCTTGCCAGTACAGTAGGGCTCTGACAGAATGCTTTCTTGGGGCTGAGGTCTTTTTGACTTCGCCCAGGGTCTGTGCAGGACTAGGTTTGTGCATACCACTTAATTCGGTGCAGCTTTTCGGACAGGCCTCTGGCCGTGGACAAGCGCCACTGGAATGATTTTCAATCCTATAATGGTGCCCCTGTGTCTCGCCAAGGTCAGGAACACTTTCTGTTTTCTCCTTTAGTGAGTTTTAGAGAACCTTAGGTGTAGTTGTGAACGGTAGGAGTAGGGAAAAGTTGTCTGTCTGTCGGTCGCTGCGCTCACGCTTCCTGTCTCACCTTGCGGTGAAAGTGATCATTACCAGAAGCGTGTCCAACCGGAGTTTTTCCTCACGAGTTTTCACGAAAGTGGTGTTTCCCTGAACTTTCCTGAAGCATGATGAACATCAGAGTGTTTTCAGTTTGTTTGCTATGAGAACGGACTTCTAGACGAAGTCCGGGGAACACCTGGGCCGTGTAGCAGAGTTGCCAGTGCAGAGAAGCCGTTAGGAGTCCTTAGGACTTACCTCGGAAGTGAGTGTGCTGAAGTCTCTGTCTGCGCCCCGTTTCACTTGGCTCAAGACTTGCACTGCGTGACAAGCGCGTGGTGAACAGTTGGTTGCAACGAAAGGTGTAAAAGTGCTGTTAGCTTTCACTGCTGTAGCCTTGCGTGACGTAGTCAGTCAGTCGGCTTGCACCTCCTTTTACTAAACCTAGAAGTGTGCCTCAAGGCGCGTTTGGGTTTTAACGTTCCGTCTCCCGCACAAGACAGAACTCTTGCCATTGCTCACACTCTGTCTTGGGAGACCCGCTAACTTGGAAGTTCTGTGCACTGCCGGCTGACGCGCACCAGGCGTTTCCCACGGTCTACACTCTTGCCTGACTGTTTGGCAAGAATGACTACCGGCTCCACCACAGAATTTGCACCCGTGGATTGTCTGTCTCGTTAACGGCCATTTCTGGCGAGCACTAACAGATCTGAAGTTTTTTTTTCCAGCGAATTGGACTTTTGGACTTTGGTGTGCTCGACTGTGACGAAACAAAGCGCAGAGGCTGCCTGTTGCTGACAAGAGTAGAACGGCTGCCAAAGCTGAAGCTCTTGGCCATTAAGAAACGAGTGAAGTGTGGTCCGAGCTGTCCCGTTTGTGTAGAATCCGGCATGCAGAGCATGGCAGAATTGGCAATCCTTGAAACTTTTCCTGGTTGCTAGATGCAGATTGAGACCCAGCTGCATCGTGGACGACACGAAAGGTTCGAGAACGATTCTATCTTTCACAATCTCTCCAATTCAAGGACGGATTAGTGTTATAACCAGCACACTGTACTTAGTGCGTCTGCACAATGCTGTTTTTTTTGAAGCGTTTTGGAAGTTGGAGCTTGTAATCGGCGATGCAAAGAGCGTAAGGCTGCAAGACTCGCAGCGAAGCAGCTGAGACCAGCAGAAGGTGCAGAGCTGTGATCCAATCCGTCGATGTTTCTGTATGCCGGCCGTGAAGTCTTTGTCCTCGTAAGCCGATGACGAGTTGCAAAAGCTCAAAGCAGTTTTGGAGGCCGAGAAGGCAGGATGAAGCGAGTGCAGCAAAGGCATTAAACAGTCCAGGCATCGGCTTTTTACCCGAGTAGGTGCCACAACTAAATTGGAAAAGCGGCTGACCTCCAGTGCGAAGGCTCCCATTTTAGCAACTAGCGATGACATCGCAAAAGGTGCCTTTGAGTCTTAAGGTTCAGGTTTAGTGTTTTAGGTTTCGAGCGTGGGGCATAGGGACAAAAGAGTTACGGTTTACAGGGCTTAGGGCTTTGTGAATCATACTTGGATAGGTGGCTGTCAGTCCAGGCAGGTTGGGGCCTTTTTAGTGATGTACAAACGTTCTTACAAGACCATGAACCTGAGTCCAGCCATACCATGTCTCCTCATGCATTCGAAGCTCTTGACATGTCAGTTGACATACGTGAAGGCTGAAGCCAAGCTCCGCAAGGACCTGGTCCGTAGCTTAGCCCAGCTTATTCACGTGTTGAGCTGCGGCAGCTCAGAGACATCGACACGAGCGCGCTGCATCTTGAGTCCCCTCGTGCAATTAATCCTTCTTAATTCTACCTTGCAACCTCTCTCTGACTCCACTTCTGAGATGAGGCCCAAGCCCGTGATGACTCGGCCTGAGTGGCATTCGCATGCCCAAATCTGAGCCTCTGGATCATTGAGGTGCAAATCATAATGCAAGCTACCATGGCAACATGGGCGCAACTTCTGATGTCAAAAATCATGACCTGCAGTACTCGTGAAGATCGTAGCACCTGGCACAGTAGCAATCATTACGTAGTATGAAACGTAGTGATCGTTGCCACCGTACGAAGCGCGATCGTGGAACTAGTGCTGCTACAGAAGCGATGACAACAACAGAACGAAGTGAGGTGATGATGGGGAGACAGTGATCCCCCAAAAGATAGCATCGCCACACAATGAATACGTACTACATTCTGCGGAGTTTTCGGGCGACCACCACAACGGAGCCGTAACAACGAAAGCAGATCAGGCACTAGAACTACAAATTGACTTGCTCTCTGTGCCCTTGCAGGGTCTAGTCTGATATCCAGAGAGTCCATGTTCGAAATGAGTTTGTCTGTTGGCGAGAGCATCCGACGACAAGAGCACGCATACCCAAGTTGCCAGTCGTGAGCTGCAGGGAGTTGGAGGCTGGAGGAAGGGTGAGTATGACATATGAAGATTCATGCAGCAGTTCATGCAGCCCTTCTTGGTTTGCAGCCTTGACGCTGCAGGCTTGTTCCCGGAAACTCTCTGGAAATTAGTTGAATCCCGGTGAGTAGCGGTTAGCAGGTGGCGCAAGACTTGCCAGCATGTAGGCGTTGGCAACACTCTTGTAATTAAATATGCTCTTGGTCACACGAAGCACCATGAGCACAGATGACCGACCGCAAACGTGGGGTGAAGCGCCTAAACATGGCAGGCATCAGGAACAGGTCCATAAGAAGAACAAGAGTAGCAAGAGCAAGAAGGCTAGGAAGATGTAAATCTGCACTTCCACGTCCGGGCTTACGGCCTTTGATCTTCTCAGTTCCGCTTAAAGCAGAGGGGCAAACATGGCAAGCCGGCACCGAATTTGTTTTCTCGACAGCAAGTGAAAGTCCTGACTGCTGCTCATGCGGCTTGCATATGCCTTAAGACTTAAGACATGCACTGCCTTGCAAGAGTGAACACAGGCCCTTCGAACCATCTCGCGCGGCAACTGTATCACACATGACTGCATAGCCTTCAACACTCCTCCTTGATTGGAGGGGCATTGCCACACCAATCACACTCGAAGGCTGCTGGTACTCAAGGGTCGTTGTGCAAAGACTGCTCCACGATCTTTTTAATTGACATGCAACACTCCTCGCACACACAGAGGTTCCACGTAGCCCACTAATACGATCTCGCGGGCTGGCTGAAGGGATCGACTCCTTCTTGTGTACAGCGGTGTGGTCCGTTGGCAATACGTACAGTACTCAACTGCATACACATCACCAGAGTTTCGCAAGCCATGACAATGCGGATCCGTGTGCATCTTTGACCTCGTAGAATTAGTCTTGTAGTAGCTCTTCTCCGGGAGGAGTTCAAACTCTTCGCCTCGAGACATCGGTTCCGGAGTGGGATCGATGATTCTCTTATTCACGCGAGGTCGTGGAATCGGATGCGGTTCAGGAGGTAGATCATGGCTCGATGAAGCGGAGCTTGAGGCCATTGCTGAGGAGGGGAATCTAGGGGTCTCTTCTGGTCTGGTGGAAAAAACACGGTCCACCTCCTCCTCGGCCGCTTGTTTAGCGGTCTCTCTCAACTTCCTCAAGCGCTTCTGCTTTGGGGTCTCCCGGCAGAATCTGACCATCCATTTGAAGATCCACTTGGCTGTTTCCCACAGGGCCACTGCAGCAATGCACACCAGCAAGGTAACCATCACTAGCTCATCGATGCCCACGGACTGAAGTCTGCTCTTCTCTCCAATCTCGTCTCCAGGTTCCACCGGAGACACGATGAAAGCAAGCACCAACATCGCCAGATAGGCACTCTTGGCTTCTAGGGCCTCCACCGCTTCGCTTGGCAAATCCTTGAAGCCCCACAACGTAAGGAGCTCCCACAGCCTCATCTTCGGATGCATCTTTGTAGCCAGATCCGCAATCTGCCGGTCGCCTGTAACATGTTCGACGTGTAGGTCTCCTGCCTCAACCTGATCCCTCAGTTTGGCGCTTCTGACCTTCAAATGTCGCGTCCGCCAACTCCCTGGTCCACCCTCCAGCATTGCCACTGCCGAGGAGTTGTCCACTCTGAGAGTCCTGCGCGCCCTGTAGCCCAAAACTTCATCCACAATGCTTCCCACACTTTCAAGGAGAACCACGGCATTCAGGGCCTCGTACAGCTCTGCTTCCATTACCGACAAGGTAACGAAAGCTTGCTTGGAAGCTTTCCAAGCGACTGGACTGTTCATCACCGTCACGACACTGGCACCATACGACTTCTCGCCATACGGTGAAAAACTCGCGTCGGAATATCCAGTCACTGCCACCGTGCCCTTTGCTGCTTCCTCCTGCTGGTTGGGTCCCAAAATGAGCTTCAAGGCTTTCGTGGTGTTGAGGTAGGCGAGGATTTTTCGTCCTATTTGAGCCACTCGGTTTGGCTGCTTACTGACCTTAGCCGCCATAAAGCCCACAGGAAACTGTAGGTCCGGACGAGTTCGCATAGCAAGCCAGAGCTGTTCACCCACCACTCGCTGAGCAAACTTGAGTTCTTCTGCAGAAAAGTTCTCATCGGCATCATTGTCCTCTCCTTCTGCTAACCAGTCCTTCGGGCACGGCAATCGAGAGGAGACGGTCTCCATCAAACCATGACTTCTCAGCAGCTCTTTCACATAGCCTTCCTGAGAGATCTCAAAGTTGCCATTGTCCCGCTGGTAAATCTCCATCCCGAGGTAGCGAGTTCCAGTAGCGTCCCTTGCCCATTCCAGAGGACTACAAGGCCACTCACTTTCAACCCATTTGTGGATTGCAATCACCAAGGACTCTTCAGAGAGATAGAGGAGGTCATCCACATAGGTCACAACCATTCCCACCAACGTTAGGGGGTCATCTTGGGTGTAGGCCAGCCACAAATCGTGGTCAGCATCACATGGTTTAAGCGTCACGATCTTGTCTCCCCACGGAATCTTCGCCGATGCCAATCTAGCTGATCTGCACTTGCTCCAAATGGACGGCGACTCTCTGAGACCGTAAAGTGGTTTAAGAACCTCCCACACCTGGTCAGCATTGATGAATCCTGCTTCCACCAACATCCGAGGAGGGAAAATCGCATACCGAGCCAGCTCCTTAGGCCACTCTGCTAAGAGAAAGGCAGCCGTAATATCAGACGTAGCTCCCAGCCACTTGAAAGCCGCCGCGATGGCGAGAGCAACCCTGACCGTCTCCGCAGAGACACCGCCAGCATACAAGCAGTAGTTAGGGTCATCTGGGGCCGCAAAGTTTCCAGATAGAACAAGCCTGAAACGGCGTCGAGCTTTCTCACCTTTGGAGGTCGGAGGTTTCAAAGTGCAAACGGCCTTGGACGGCACAAGCTTCAGCTTCCCTTGCCTCTCAAGCTCCTTTGCCTGGGACGCATAAATAGGGCGGAGGGTGCCGTTCAGGAGCTGTTTGATCTCCTTTTCAATCGCGGTCAACCACTTTGGAAGGGCTGCTCGAACTTGATCCAATGGCACCGTGTGCACCACCTCCAGGTCTCCCGTCATCTCTTCAAGCATGCGCTCGTAGTCAATCTCGTTTTGTGCCACTGCTGCTGCTCGAAGACAATGTCCATGTTGAACTTGCCCTTGTACTCCGCGAAGGGTGGTGATTTCCTCCATCATGTCCTCCAAGATCCCTCGCACATTCTCAACTTCATCTCCCACCAAACTTCCTGCTCTGCGACACTCTTCCAACAAGGCCTCCTCCTCCTCAAGTAGCAAACGGAGCCTCGTCGACTTTGCTTCCAAATCATCAATGAGCTGCTGCTGGTCCTCCGTCAAAGTCAACAACGCATCATCTAAGGTTCCTTGACCATCATGAGGAAGTGATTGTAGTAGGTGAAGTTCAGCAGTGGTCTGGGCTTCTTTAGCTCGAACTCCTCCGACTTGGTTTTCAGCCTCCCCAGAAACCAGGTGATTCAACGGGAATCCAGCAAACTCCATACGATCGCGGTCCTGATAGTGAAGGTGGGAAGCACGAGGGCTGTAGAGCACCATAACTACTCGATCTCCTTCCCAAGGCTGCACTTCATGCCACCGTCTAGGATTGAAGAAGAAAGGCTTCCCCACCTCTAACTCATGAACAGCACCCTTCTTGGAAAGCTTCTTGGCAACCTGCTTCCACTCAGCATCTCGAGGAGATAAGGATTCATCTTCAATCCAAAGTTGGCCACCGCTGGTGGGTTTCCTCAACATCACCAAGGCATTCATTCTACAACTCGGCCTCACTGTGAGAGTCCTTATGGCAACCCATGTCCACGTTCTCAAGCAAGCCCACCGCTGCAAACTCGTGGCCAGCACATAGTGTTTTCGCCGCGTTCACAAGAAACTTGGTACACCACTTCATGCGTGACGTATTCCCCCGAAGGCCCGCAACACCGCCGTGCACGAACATTCCCGTTGTCCAAGAACACCCCTTCTTAGCAGCCGCCCGTCCTCGCTTTTGCTTCACCTTGACATTCTTTAGCAAGCCAAACAACTGCATAATCTCCTCTGGGGTTCCTTGACCGGAACGGCATAGGTCTCGAGCAAAGGCCTCGGCGCGCTCTTCCTCAACGTTCAGCGGGTGCGCCGTAGACATAGAAGCCAACCGGGTCTTTGTCCGAACACGCCTTTCTGGTATCGGTATTTCAACTTCTCTCGGCTCCAAATCCACTAAGGCGTCCGGGTCCACAATGTTCGTCTTGAGGTGCTGACTCGTCACGAAAGTGTTGTCCTCGAACTTCACCACATGTCCATGGGCCACGTCTTCCGACGGCCCAGTGTACACTCCATGGCTCCATTTGTTGTCCAAGTCGTAGCGCTCCGCTTGTCCGTAGATCTTGGTGCGAACATGTACGGGACAACCAAAAGGCGGGAGGGTCTCGTCTTTGTTCAGTGCTTGTAGTCGTTGACGATAAACTGCATACCTCATTGCTAAAGGCCAGTTTTCTTTACCCAACCCAGAAGCGGTCAAAAGGGCCTTGGCTTCGGACTTCACAAAGCGAACTGTTGCCTCCGCCCTGCCATTTTGCTGGGGCGACTGAGCTTCTCCAGTTGTACACAGCACGCCTCTCTCGTTCAGCCATGCACGTAGACGAGAGTTACACAGCTCACGGGCACGATCACTGTGACACCTCAGCACCTCCAAACCCTCACTCCGAATCTGCAGGTAAAGCTGTCTGACCCTCTGGTTCACCTCAGCTGCTCTTCGGCTTCTCATGGGCACCGCAAAACGTAGGACCTGGTAGTCCATCGTCTCACCAATTTCGGCAACCAGTTCTTTGTACTCTTGGTTCTGTTGATCCATCTCATCCTGTTCTGCTCGACTCGGCATCGGATCCTCTAAAACTTCTTCTTCTTCAAACAGACCTTCTAGATCAGGTGCCGGACCATCTGCTAGAACTTCGCCTGGAACTTCAAGGACTGGACCATCTGGTAGAACTTCGCCTGGAACTTCAGGGACTGGACCATCTGGTAGAACTTCGCCTGGATCTATTTCTCCAATCCCACCCTCTGGCTCATTGATGATCACATCTTGTTCCGGGAGTCTTCCTTCCTTCAACCGTGGCATGGTATATGAAGCAACCAACATGTACTTGAAGTCTTTGGCCTCCGGAGTGTGGCCTCGTACTCGGAACGGTCCACAAACATCTAAAGACATCGTGAAGCATGATGGTGCCTCAATCCGTCTATGAGCATGTCCCGTGGCCTTTGCCGCCACACATGTCTTGCACCGCCGATGGAAGGGTAGATGACCATCCCTTACATGTTGAATCCACTTAGCCAGCTCCTCCTTGGTCATCTCTTTCAGAGGTCCATTCATGCGACGCAAATGAACAACAGACCGCCATCGTTGAAAACTCTTGATCAGGGCCTCCTTGAAATCCATAGTCCACGTCAATGCCCCATTTGGATGTAGTCGTTCCCAGGGTCCTTCAGGTAGCTCAATCTCCAGTGTGGTAGCGACGGAAATCCCTGGCTCTCCCCTCTTCAGGTTCACACCATACTCCCTTCTAAACGACGACCACAGCTTCGAGCTCCATAGTTCACTTTTGGTTGGCATGCACATCGCAAAACCCGGGCTCGCAATCTCATAGCTCTCAGCGGCCAACCTAGCAAGGGTCCAAATGAACATCTGCTTCATCACCAAGTCGCCCGTGCCCTCTGCTCGCGGAGGACCTCCAAACACTCCATGTACTTGGCCTCGCATAGCCGCCCAAAGCAAAGCCTGATACACTGGGCCCGGCTCTCGCATGTTGTAGGAGCGACTGATGCCAATGTCAATCTCCAACAAAGTAACTCCCTCTTCTTCGAGAACCTTGAAACCCGAGCCATCACCGGTAGCCTCGCCAGAGTACAAGTGAACCATCCACCTAGAGGTCATCAAGCGTCTTCTCATAGCTCTCTTCACTGGCAAAGCCTTGAGGTACTTGTGCCCGGCCTTGTCGCTGAGGTCGACATCCTGAATCAAGGAACAACGCTGAGCTTCTGTCATCACCCCAAACACCGAGTCCTCGCACAACAGGGCTTGAAGACCATCTGCTCTTTTGCCGGTGCGCCTGTACTCGTGAAGCTGGGCCTCGAAACTCACCGTAGCCTCAATGCCCCTCATCTTCAACTGCGACTCCACAGTCTTCACCTTGAGCTGCTCTAGCTTCCGCGCTTCGATCTCCTCTATCAACTGCAGGGCCTTTGTTTCGCCAATGAAGGGGCATGAGCCAGCAACATGGGTGGTGATCACCCCGTGCTCCGGATGCTTGACCTTCAAGCCATGACGATCCCACGACACCGTGCATCCAAGTTCCCGAACCAGTGTGCCGAGGGGCACGATGGTGGTGGTGGCCACCCCGCTCGCCATAGAGGAACCCTTTGCCGGCATCAGGGTGCCTGCTCTGTTCTGCTGTAGAACCACTTTGTTGCCGTCTGCCAAAGTGACCTGAACCGGAAGCGTCTGGTCCTCATCCCTTGGTGTCACATTCTTGAACGGGTGCGTGGCGCCGGAGTCAAGCAGGGCCCAGGGCTCCTCGGGAAGCTCGAAAGCCTCCAAACTCTTCTCCATCTTGGCCATCTCGGGAGCAATCGGTTCTCGAACTCTCATGGCCCTCAGCGCCGACATTCTCTGCAACATGGTGTTCACCTCCTTCACGAAGTTCTGTAGCTCAGGACTCTGCATCACCTCAGGCGTGAAAGCTTGAACCGGTTCCGCTTGCACCACAGGGCCCTCGGAACAGGTAGTCGACATAGTAGAACTTGCCGCGTTCCCATACGGGGCCATCATAGCCTTGGGTTCCGGGGCGGTTGCTGCCGCCACTGTAGTAGTCGCCTGAGGAGACATAGAAGCGGAGGAAGCCGTAGGTCCACTTCCTGTGCCCTTCGCCTTCGTGGGGTCCTTAACGGGGCACTCAGACTGGCGATGTTGCTTTGAACCACAAAACCAACATCTTGACCGCTTCTCATCCTTGCTGGCAAACTCATGCGCATATTTACACCCAGCACCACGGCGACAGCCTTGGTCCGACAAGAAAAACTTGCATCCTTGTCGCTGCCCCTGCTTCGTCGGAGATCCAGGGGGGGTCCTTGTTGTCGTACCTCCCGTTCCTGCCTGAGCATCCGCTGCACGTAGCTTGGGAGGATCATCTCCTCCACCTGGCGCCCTCAAGGCTCGTGAAGGGGCTGATTGCTGTAGCTCGGCAAGGGCGTGGTCGAAGTAGCGAAGCACCGTGTCCTGAGTGGGCCTGTTTTGCAGCTGCAGCTCATTCCTGGCTAAAGCCAGCCGAAAGCTGGTGTCTGGCAGCCGTTTCAGGGCCCCACCAATGATCATCTCTATCCCACGGAGCAGAACACTGGCATCTGGTGGGGACACGCCCATCTCAATGGCCCTGGTGAGGTTCCTTCGCCACTTCCTCAAGGCCGCTATGACCTCCGTCACATTCTCCCCGCCCGCATGGCCCTCAAACTGCTTGAGGATCGCCGTTCGCTCTGCCACTCCACCAGGGGCGTACAAAACATGCAAGCGAAACATCACCCCTGCCACAGTCCCGACCCGGTGGGTGACCGCGTCCTCCTTCACCGCCTTCGGCATTGCAGTAAGAAGACCTTTCTCTCGTAGTAGGAGTAGCTGAAGGCTGCCGCAGTGTACGTTGCTCCGTTGGTGGCGCTACGCTAGAGGATGGAACTTCTGCTGCTACTGTGGGGCTAGATGTAGGTTGCTGCTGAGGCTGTTGCTGCTGGGGCTCGTCGTCACGTACGTTCGCGCCCGATCCGGTAAGTTCCACGTCGGGTCCGGTTGGCTGAACCTCAGCGCTTCGTGCCCTTCTCTGGCCTCGGCCCACCATTGATGCACCAAGGGGACGATCCATTGATGCTCCAAGGGGCCCATCCATTGATGCTCCTGTAGCTGGCTGCGCAGATGAGAGGCGTCCCAATGGCAGCGTTGAAGAGCTTCCAGACCGCCTGGCGCCATGCATAGGTGCCACTCCATTCATAGCTCCGTAGCTCGGTCCCGAGGCTTCTCCTTCCAGCGTAGCCGCACCCTCACTTGGGCGACTCATAACCTGTAAATCTGCACTTCCACGTCCGGGCTTACGGCCTTTGATCTTCTCAGTTCAGCTTAAAGCAGAGGGGCAAACATGGCAAGCCGGCACCGAATTTGTTTTCTCGACAGCAAGTGAAAGTCCTGACTGCTGCTCATGCGGCTTGCATATGCCTTAAGACATGCACTGCCTTGCAAGAGTGAACACAGGCCCTTCGAACCATCTCGCGCGGCAACTGTATCACACATGACTGCATAGCCTTCAACAGAAGAACAGTCAGATTACGAAAGTGGTCAAAGCAGCGGCGCGAGAATTCAGCAGCACTGTTGGCTAAGGCTTGCTGTTTCCAGAGAAGTCCGGGACCCAGGGCGTTTTGGTCGTTGGAAGAGATGGAGGTCCCAGGAGGCAGGTCATCAACCAATTGCCACACCGGCATGGATGCATCCATACATAAATACAGACCTACGTTCATGAATGCATACTATACTATACGACTGCGAAAGAGAACACATACCGAGATCTGCCAGTGTATGTGCGGCTCAGAAATCACGTTGACCTATTGGTTCTGAGTTCTTCTGGTTCGGTTCGGTGCAATGTTCCAGGTTAGCGGCAGTCCAGGAAGGGTTGACCAGTCAGCATAATGAAGTCAGTTGTAGCGATGGACCATCAACCCAAACTTGCAACTCTTGTTTGGGTTGGTGGGCTGTGGCATGTGACTGTCCGCAGTGCTCTTGAAAACTGAAAATCAGCCATGCGTAGTCTGCAACTTGGACAGACACAAACGATGCATACCTTAACGACCTCACGGTACTTCCACATGCTCAGGCGGCTGACAATGCTGCGCAGCAAGCCGAGGCAAGAGTAAGCTAGATGGTAGCAATGCTTTGCTGTGTCAAATGAGACCAGTGGTCGTATGAGCCGCAGTTGCTGTATCGGATGGGCATAGAGCACGTCAGCCATCGCAGCATCTGCGCAGGTGGCATCCAAGAAGTTGGAGGCAGCGCTGCCCCCTGCGTAGGGCACAGAAGAAGTCTCAGAACCCTCACTCTCTCCTGCATCCTCAGTGCGTCATGTCAGGAAGAGTTTCTTTCACGGCGTGAAGCTCAGGCTTTGAACAAGTGTGGAAAAATGTCCATCGGAACGGCGGAAGGCTACCCATTTTTAGGGTAGAATTAGCATTGTTGGGATGCGTGCCAGGGCTGCATGTTTTCGTGCAGGGAGTCTTTTGTTGGACATGGAGGCTGTTTTGAGTAGTGTCCTTTCCATGATCTGGATCTTATCCGCGCTCTTGATGTTGATTCGTGTGCCCTCCTGTTTTGCATCTTAGTCTTGTCGAATCCAAGATCCAATTGCTCAGCGACAGAAAATGAATCGAGCCGGCTGGACCGTGTGACTTCCTGGATCTTCCTCAGCTTCCCAGGATGCGCGGAAAGGACATCGAGGTTCAACTCCTCAAAGAGTTTGAGCCTCAGCGGAGAGGTCCAGGTTTACTGTCAGCCAGTTTCCACGCCTGTATGTGGGAGGACGTGGGCCGTTCAAGAGCGACGCATCCATCATCTGAAAGAGTTTCCCTCTCAGATCCTTGCAGTCCCTCCGCAAGTCCTTGTTGCAAGCCACGGTTAGCTGAGGATGGTGGCCCGCCTGAAAGGTGCGGAGCCTACTTTTTCAATACGCTGTCGGACTGTCGTCTTTGTTTCTGTAGATATTCTCCAGGGATTAGGGTCGAGGGTGTACCTTTGGTGTAGGGTTGAGGGATGTTGACTGTTTACGGTTTAATTTAGAGTTGTTTTAGGAATGCCCCACTTCACGCTTTACGCTAAGAAATTCGCTGGGTCTTCTCAGACGATGCGCGAAACTGCTAAGATCTGCTAAGTTGAAGCAAACTGCTTGTCTCCGCCAGGAGGGCAATTGTTCTCATTGCCGTCTTCGCTGCCCTAGCTACTTGCATCAATCTCATGACTAGCATCATTCCTGTTTCATTCGCGTAAAGACCTTGCAACAATCCAGCAGGCGGTAGGCTGACTTTCGCAGCTTCATGCAGGAGACGCCTGGGACGAACCGCGTGCCCTGCTCAGTTATGGTTGTTCAAGTTTTCAAGTATTTGGACAACGAGAAAAGTTTCAACGCTGATATGGGTAATAATCGCAGTAAGGACCCTTTCAACACGTAATCATAGTGAGTTGGAATAGCGTCAATAGCCATGGCAAGAACAAACGACACGCAGGATTGCCTTGAGATCAGCAGAAGCAATCACAGTCATGGTCCCAAAAACTTAACCTTCCCGCCCGCCCCTCCCCGTCCCCGGAGTTGGAGCAGGTGTGAAGGTTTTTTGGATGGGCTAGCATTTTCCTTCTCCCTCTCCCCCCCGGTGTGCTGGCGGTGCCATACAAGGAGCAATCAATAGCACCTGGCATGAAAAGTGCACGCTCTGAGCAAGAGCATGAACAGTCGCATTTATAGTTGGCGTTATAAGCATTAGAACTCATCGCATGATGGCAGTGGTGAAGGTGTCCCACCCCCGCGGTCCATATGATAATTGCCGCTTTCGCGCCTACTGGGCCTGGGCTGTGGGGAGATACCGAAGAGGGCTACCGCACGGCGACAAGGAGTTGCTTAAGGAGAATTGCAGGGCCCTGTTCAGGAGTATAGAGAAGATAGTTTTGAAAAGCAATGGTGCTCGTGAGCCTCTTGCCGCTTCGCCGCACAAGGACGCAATGGGCGCATGCCAGAAGACATTGGAGGCATATCTGCATTTGACAGTCGGACAGAACGCCTCTTGAAAGGGCAGGGGCGGGAGCATCTCTGCAACTGCCGCAAGTTGAGTGAGCTATTCAAGTTCAAGTTCAAGTGAGGCGGCATCAGGTAATTCGTTACGCCACATGATACGTGGACCTGTGTGCTAGAATTTGATAGCTTTCACACCTTATTAAACTGAAGTTCTGGAAAGTGCCAGGCTTTCGTGAACACCCTCCAGACGCCTCTTGTCAACACAGTTTCCGGCATTGAGTCTGATGCATCGCCACGACAAGATCTATGGCAAATGCGCCAGCACTATCCAGCACTCGTCTCCAGCTTTGCATGCCCTTTCCTCGACAGCACCGCATCTCTGCACTGCCAAGCAACAGTGTTTACAGGTTCCGCAAGGCGATTAAAGAATCTGTCCGAATCCCAAATGCAGCTTTCTTGTGTTGAGGTGTGTGTGCTCTCGTTGAAAGCATTTTGCCCTTTTCTGTCGGCTTAAGTCTTTTGAAAGGCCAGGCCAGAACCAACAAATCTTGCCATGAATCTCGCAACTTTCGTTTCGTCCTCTATTTTGTGATTCGCGTTTTCGGAATCCTCTTAGTAATCCTTGAACGAATGAGTGAACTGCTTGTGGTAAATGTGGTCTGGGTTGACGAAGGGTTGGGAGAGGCAATTGGGGTCAAGGGTTGACAGGTCTACAAGGTAAAGGTTTAGGGTTTAGGGCTGAGGTCCTAAACCTTGAACCCGCCGAGCCCTTAACCTGATAATGGCATTACATTCTCCATATGTACGTAACGCAGTTGACCCCAAACCTCAGCATTCCATGCCAAAAAGATCCGTGCATGTAGGCCCACACAGCCTCGAAGCGGCCAGAAACCTTGAACCCAACTTTAAGCCATGATGAAACCAAAGAAGCGGCAACAAGGCGGCTGCTGGTGGCTACGGCTACCGCACCCCCGCCTCCTCAAGAAGCACGGTGACGCCGGAGGTACGCACGGGCTCAGGTTCTCTTTTTGGAGCTTAAGGCTTAAGGTATCTTTGTGTTTTTCTGTTTGTATTTGTTCTTTTTTGGGGAGGGGGTGAACTTGGGTTAGGGTCCTAGTCCGCATTTTTTTGTTTTCTTCTTCTTTTTCCGAAGGGGGAGGGGTGGGGGGTGGGGTTTTAGCGCTTGAGAGGCTGTCGGGTTTTTGGGATTCAAGAGTGCTCAGGTGGAGTGAGGGTTTGGGGTTCAGAATTGAGGATGCAACGTTTCCGGGCCAAAGGGTGCGAAGGCGTGCCGTTTCGCGGGTCTAGGCTTTGGAAGGGCGAGGCTGCTAGAAACCATGATTCAAGATAAAGTTCCAAACCCTCAGCCCCTGAAGGCCCTGCACCATTAAACGCCCACACCGCAACAACCCCAAAACCTCTAAGGCTCTAGCCTACAGCCCCAAAACCCAGAAGCCTTCAATGCCCTAAAGCCCCAAAGCCCTAAACCCTACACTCTAAACGTCTCGCCAACACCCCTGCAAAGCAGGCCATGAGCCGTGCGCTGCGAGAGGGCTGGCAAGCGAAGCTCATCTCTCGCTCCCAGGCCCATGTAGCTTTACGGGTTTAGGGTTTGGTGGTTTCGAGTTCAGGGTTTAAACATTTTTGCATTTTTGAGGGTGGAACGTGTTTCTCGAGACTGGCAGACTGAGGCGTGGGGTCAAAGTTGCAGGACGTCAATCTGGCTTGCTTCTGAAACCACTTGGCAGTTGCTGTGTCTTCACTACATGCGAAGGGCATCCAAGCTTTACGGTCGTATGGCGAAGCCTGTGAACCCTGAGCAATGGCCATCCACATGACCCTAGCCCGTAGCGGCAGAGTATCGGAACCCCGCCCACGGAAGAGGTTGTAGCTGATGGCACTCAGCGGAACATTTGGACATCAAAGGCTGCATGCCCCAGAATTAGAAACGCTTTAAGATCTACTGTGGCTTGAGGTCATAGAGTTTGCAGTTCAAGCAGGGTTCAAGGTTGTCAGCTTGAGGCGGGTTGGAGGCTCTTAGGGTTCTCATTTTTGAAATCACTACCTAGTGGACCTAGTGCATGAGGAGATTCGTTTGTCGTCATGCCTTCCACTGTGCTTTGATGTATCGCCTCTGTCAAAACTCCAGTCCAGTCTTTTTGTTTCTCGGTTTGTTTGTGTTTTTTTGCGATATGTTTCAACACTATGCAACAACTACTTCCGTGCTACGGCAGCCCGCAAGTCTACCTTTTCTACTTTTCTCTATCCTGCCCTTTGGCCGATTCTACCTCCTGTCTATCATGTGCAGCTGCTTCTGCAGGACACGCTGTCTCACACTAGCCTTGCAACTCAACCTCCTCAACTTCAAATCCTAAATCTGTCAAGTGTAAGGCCGTTTCGGCCCACCTCCTCTCTTCTTACCCTAACCTTGAAGCCTAAAACCTAAACCCCAAACGATCCGAAATCCCAAAATAACCTGTTGGGAGGCCTGCATGCTCCTGGGACTATCACGGCAGCCTCTCCAGGCAGAGGTGCAAAAGGCCCTCCGTGCTTTCGTCGTGCTTTGGGCTGAAGTTTCAGGTTTCAGGGTTCAAGGTTTCCGGGGTTTTGGTTTAGGGTTTAGGGGTTTGTGCTTCTTTAGTTGTGGGTTTCAGAGACAGATCTTTCTAGTAGTGCCTTTCATGACTCCACGGCTTGTTAGATGACAGCGGCCGCAGCTTGACGTGCTGGGACTGTTCAATCCGCTTTGTTCGCAGGCCGACGGTTTCGGAAACCAGTGCTGCCTCAGGGACGTACTTGGGAGTTTAGAGTGTAGGGGCTTGCTGGGTGTGACTTCACGTCACCCACACACGCCCAGCCCAGTCCTCAACGACAGAAACCAAGTGAGCAGGCAAACAAGAGAACTAAGTCAGCGGTGCGAGCTCCGCAGTTCAACCATTCATGTGATCCTGCTGTTGCAGACTCGTACGTTTCAGATGAGAGCGACCGCGTGTCCTCACAGCGACGCTGGAAAAGCAGTGTTCCGGAGGGAGTCGTTCGCTTTGCAGAGTGTCTCCTTCATGGCATGAAACCCTGCGGGTGCGCAGGTCAGAAAACAACTGGCTTTGCGCTGGCATCCAGCACCCTGGCTGTACGGCATCCCATTGGCAATCTCACAGCTTCAATTGAAATGGGGTCGGCATGGCGGTTGGCAGATGAGAGCCGGAAGATGCTCCAAGGGACATACCGGTGAGAGTCCAAAACTTAGATTTTCTCTGAGAGGTCATCATGTGGGAGTACGGATGTCGTTTGCCACCAGAAATCTTCGCTTCCCCTGATCCCTAAACCCTAACGACGCTGAACCTTAAACTTGCCCCAGGACAAGAACCCGTGTGATGCCCAAGCCCACTTGGCCTTCCAGCTCGTCATGGCGGCTGCAGAAAAGCTGAGCACGTAGCACCAAGAGGCAGCTCCCGAGTGAGGCAAAGCCCCATATTGTGGAGTCTTGCAGTGCAGCCCTGGGACATGCGGTTTATCGCGCGCGACAACTGAAGTTTCACCGTGCAATCCACACCCTCGGATTCTATGCAGCTGCGCACCCGAGAATCCTGTAGCCGGCGCCAATGCCGCCCGGCGCATGCAAGGATTTGTCGTTTCGCCTGGGTTATGATGAAGTAGCGCAAGTGAAGTTGCCGTGTTAAAACTTTGAACACCTAAGATGGCCTCCAGGCCGTATTACGATTACTTCGAACAGCTTCTTGGATTACGAGGCACCCAGGTTTCGCGGAGATCCCGAGATCCTCCGCAGTGACAGCCCATGTGGGTCAGAGCAAGACAGGACACGACGGGAAAGGGCATAAGACTCCCTGTATAGACTCACGATGGATACGAGCTGTGTAGCGTAAATAATCTGCACTTATAGTAGCCTAATGACATACTAATCTGCTGCCGAATGCGACATCGGGAGACTTGTTCTTTTCGCCTGAACCTGTCAGTGGCTGACTGCCCTCGCTAAGCATTGCTTTCTTTACTGAGCAGGAAACGCACGATCATGTTTCTTGATAGGGTTTACAGCGTGGATGGTGCTGTCAGCGGCATGGAGCGGCATGGAGTACGAGAGATGATGAGAGCCATCGATGCTCAAGCCTTGATAGTGGCTTCTGCTCATCATGGACAGCAGCAGCAGCCGTAGCCAAGGATGGGTTTTCGGGAGATTTGGGTCAGAGTGCTCACAGGTGCGTGGGCAGTTAATTGGCTTACAAGTAGCTTGCGTTAAAGTCGGCTAAAGACCTTATTTCGGGTACTTGTCAACTTACTTACGACTGCCCATGAACTTTCCCCTAAACCCTATAAGCCCGAAGCCCAACATCCAAACCCTAACGCCCTCAAGGAGACAACATCTTTCAGGCTCCGGCCAAGGGCTCTTCTCGCCCTCCAATGGCACCGCTCCACCTCCTTTCCCACCCGCCCCACTGAATCAGCGCTGGTTCTTCCAAGTCAACACTGGCATGGAATGATGTGGGGGTATGACTCGGTATGACGTAGTTCTTACTGGCACGATAAGAGCTTGCCCCCCTTCATGCCAAGACGGCCGGGTCATGGGGCAGGCCAAAGCCACGAAGTCCTCCGAAGATGGAGGGCAGGCCGGTCAAGGCAAGGTGGAGCCCGGTGGAGTCCATGCGCCGGTAGTTTGGGTGATCATGTCATCGGTTGAGATGCCACAACAAGTCGCTTGCTGTTTCAGTGTCCCCGTACCTCTCCGCACCACAACTGCTACTGCTGCTACTGCGAGAAATTTTGACAAGCTTCGTTTTTCTGATGGCCAGGATGGTCAGTGCCGTAATGTTCTGATTGTTCTCAGGCTTCGTCGTTTTGCAATCGGTCGGAGGCCGCGATAAGGTTGAATGCAATTGACATGCGTGACGCCGGAGGCTCGCAAGCAAGGAGCGGCGCCCAAGCTTTGATGGAGTGTTGCTCCTTTTGATTCTTTGATGGCTTCTGAGGGCTTGCGGCATGAACTCTTCGGCAGTGCTCTAGCCGTGAATCTGCGCTGTCGCATGTTCCGGACAGGACCACCAGTTCGATGAGCCGACATGCTCGTGTGAGCCCGGTCCTTTTTTGCCTCATGCAGCTCTTGGCTTTATGTGGCTGCGGGATGTCTTAAGAGCCTTGTGTTCTGAGTATTTGCAGCTTCAAGTCTTGTAGGGGACCATTGCGTTGAATGCCGCTGATTTATACTGACTTCAAAGTCCTCGCACGTGATGTGCCTCACCCCTTGATCTGCCTCTCTAAATAGCATATCATGACCGCCAGTGCACGGACTTGTGGACAGGGCAACCTCGAAGCGGCGGCTCCTCAGATTGCAGATGTTGCAATGTGGTGCAGTGCATTGGCGTTGAGTCCTGGTATAAGGGTTGCTGGATCTCTTTGGAGAGCTCCAAAATGGATTTGTTCCATCAGCTTCTCATCAGTTGTGCTTGTGAGTCTTTGAGCGGCCTGGAGAGTCCCCATTCGTGCCTCCAACTCCAACGATCACCCCTGCAGACCCAAGCTGCAGAGCCGGTAGTTCTTGTGGACAGGTTATGACTTGCATTTGGCGGCATCTTCGAGCACTTGGAGAGGCAGGGTGAAGGGTGGGAGAGATCATGCTGGAGCGCACAGGGTCGTGCAAGACGACAGTCGGCTGGGGGCTGTGCCAGCGGGGCGGGCAATGCGAGCACGCTTCAGGGGAAAACTAAGATGCTGGCAACCCGAACATATTCGATTTCGTAAGTCCCATGATTCATTAGGTACCCCCGAAACCCTTCAAGGCTTTCCCAGAGAAGACTGTAGGCGTCTTGATGCCAGGTTTGAGGATTTTTTCTTACTGTGCGTTTTTTTTGAAGTTTGGGGTATCATCGCATATTTATGGGGTATCATTGTTTTTTAGGCCTAAACTTTTATGGTCCCGACGCTACAGGCCTCTTAGGGCTGTTTGTCTGTCAGTTCAGGGTATCCGGGGTTCGTGAAGGATCGTGTGCGCTGGGGTTCAATGTTGTCTCAGAGGATGCAGCTGTGAGATTCCGTCGGTACGATGATATAGAAGCCTGGGTAAGTAGTAATAGTATTATTTATGGTTCTTTCTTATGAATAACGTACAACATATACCAGAGAAAAATGTGGGGAGCAAGGCTCCGATATGCTCAGGGGCTCAGAGCTCAAATCAAGAAACCCTATATACACCCACGACCACAAAGCCTAAGCCCGAAAACTCCGTTGTGAAAGAGACCTTGAAGCAGCGCAGCAGCGAATGTGCGGCCCTTGTCAATTGCATGCAGCGCAGACCACAGCAGATCTAGAAAGGACAAGGAGTTTTGCAAGCACGCGTCATGGTTCCTCGTCACACATCGTCACACATCATGGCTGGGGAAGGCTCCTAAGCATGGCCATGCTTCGGGTTCGAAGCCTTGCCGGACGCGAGCTTGCGACGGTTACTGAGGAGGAGGTTGCTGCCTTGGCCGATGCACACGGAAGTGTCGTCAAGGGCATTGAGCAGCTCGTGTCCCCTCTTGTAGGCCAGCCATGCTGTCGGCTGAAGCTCCTCAGCGGAAACACAGTGCTTAATCAAGACGCCAGCTTGACGCTACCGCTCGAGTTGCAGGTAACCGTTTGCAACTATGTCGAGGTCGATGCAGGTGACGTTGACCGGCTGTCCAGCGCAAGTCAAGAAAACGATGCTGCCACGGTTGAGGCCTTGCTTCGGCGTCCTCAAAACCCAGACTTGGTGGATTCCCAAGGTCGGACGGCAGCGATAGCGGCCGCCGAAAGTGGAGCGCTGGATTGTGCGAAGCTACTCGCGTCCGCGCGTGCTGACCTTGACAAGACCCGTCAAGGGAGTTGTGACACAGCTGTATCTGCTGCAGCGCTGAATGGTCAGCTTGATGTAGTGCGGTTCCTAGTTGAGCAGGGTGCGGACAAGGACAAGGCGGCGACCGACGGTGTAACACCTGTTCTGGTCGCAGCATACAGTGGTCACGTCCACGTCGTGCGCTTCCTGATCGAGATGGGTGCCGACAAGGACAAAGCAAACAGTAACGGCGCAACACCTGTCTTCATCGCAAGTCAGAACGGTAACATTGATGTGTTGCGCCTGCTGATTGAGAAGGGCGCCGACATGGACAGAGCAAAGACCGGTGGTGCGACGCCTGTCTACATCGCATGTGAGAGAGGCCACGCTGATGTGGTGCGCTTGCTGGTTGAGAAGGGTGCCGACAAGGACGCTGCAAGGAACGATGGTGCGACACCTCTCTTCGTTGCAAGTGCGCATGCTCACCTTGAGGTGGTGAGTCTGCTGGTTGAGAAGGGTGCCAACAAGGACAAGGCAATGCACAATGGCGCGACACCTCTCTACATTGCAAGTCAGAATGGCCACCTTGAAGTGGTAAGCCTTCTGATTGACAGGGGTGCCGACAAAGACAGAGCAAGGAACGATGGTGCGACGCCCGTCTACATCGCAAGTGAGAAAGGTCATAGTGATGTAGCTCGATTGCTTATTGAGAACGGTGCAGTGGCAACAAGGACAAAGCAATGTACAATCACATGATGCTGGTCCTGGGCTCAACCTCGGTTAATGACTTTCGCAACGAGCTTGCTGACTGAGATGGGCTTGCCGATCCCACGAAAGAAACGATGGTGCCACATGTTTTCGTCGCAGGTCAGCGCCGGGTCACCTTCGGGTAATGTGTTTTCCCGTATGCCTGTGACGGGGTCTGCCTTGACGTATCGCGACATGCAACACGAGAGGCGGCATGCGTGAACGAAGCATGATCATCACGAAGAAGTCCACACCAGCAAGCAGCAGATGATGTCCGTCGCTTGTATCCATAAGCTTGTGATATGTGTCATCGACTGTAATGCAACTTGGCTTCGGGGAATATTCCGGTCGCACCACCGCTGTCGCAGAGCCGGTTGGAGACGGGTGAGGATCTGTTCTCTAATCGAGGAGGACAAACCTCGGCGCGGATGCAGCATTGCCTCCTTGACAATGTCAGATGTGAGCATGTCAGCGGTGTTGGTGTTGAAGGAAGGCTCTTTCACAAAAAGGCTTAGTGTTTACGCCTTTAGCTTTTCGGACTGCGAGCATTGCAGAGCCACACATGCCGAAAGAGGACACGCGCTCAAAACGACAGGCTGTTCTGATCCTGCGAGTCTTGGTTGATGGTAGTGAGGATAAGGACGATTGCAACGGGGATATCTTGACCGAAACCTGAGCAGAAAGGACTAGTTCTTGGGAGAACCTTCTGTACGACTGTACGAGAGCCTCGGATCATGTCTAATCTGCATCGGACTGAGCGAGTGTGTTGGGTTCTGTGCGGAGAAGCATCACTGCAAGGAGCGGTGAGGCCACACCTGGTTTTGTCAGCTCACAAGGTATTATCACGTTCGCACCGTGCGGTTCTGCACGAAATATAGACAGACAGCAGACTTTCTGCATAACAAGGCACGTTCGGCGACACTCGACATTGCTGTTTTGTCATTCATGTTCTGAGAAGGCGGTCGCGATTTTCGAACGACTCTCTTCAGCTGCAGCCACAGCCCCAGCACCCAAGGTGTTCCGGCAAGGAATGATTCATGGACTGTACCATAACTTGCCCTTGCTTTGTGTGTGTGTGTGTGTTTCAGTGGAGTTGAGATTGCAATTTTGACAGTTTGACGCGGTTTCGGTTTCAGGCTTCAAGGGGTGAGGATGCTAGACATTCTTCCTTTCGGGGTTAACTTCAGAGGTGCATACGGCTCATGTGGCTTTTATGCTGAGTTGATCGTTGGGGCTTCCGGCCATGTCTTTTGCCGCTCATGTGACTGCTTGCAGAGCACATTCAGTGTCGGTGGTCCTGTTGTGCTTAAGATAGTTCTTTTGGTATGTTTTGATGGGCAGGATCCAAGCATAACTCAATTTCGAACCATCTAGAATCTACATGATGCGGCTTCACAAACTGCGCGGTGCATTGGATGCGCGGTGCATTGGATTGCGGAAGAGCTCTGCAGGAGCTGCACTGTTTTGAAGCCCGAAGACCCGCAAAACCCCAAAAGCTACACCTGAAGCCCTGTCATCACAGATCTTAAGCGAGGTCGGCTGTTTGCTGGTGCTTGCAGCAAGCTCGGCGCCTTGGCTCTCACCTTGGTTTTCGGGCTTTCGCTTTGAGGGACCCGAAGAACCCGTATTGTAGCACCTGTTAAGGGGCCCGAACGAACCCTAGTAAAGTATCCTGTACAGTTGCACTTAGGGAGTGGTTGAGGGCTTAAGGAATTGGGCTGAGGGGTTGAATTGCGGGTTCAGGGCCTTGGTCTGGGATTTGAGGATTATGGACCGACGGGGTCTAGAACCCCGTCAGAATTTGATGTTCATCAAAGTTGCTCTTTGGCCCCACACCCTGAGCCGGAACGTGTTTTGCAACTCTTGTCGCAGCGGTACCTCCTCAAGACCGTTTGGGGGTGTCGGTGGGGCTCACAGGCCTTGGGACGTCGTTATTTCGTTCACAAGCCGTCAAGCAGACGTCATCACGTTCTGTTTACATTGCAAGAACCAAGCTCGCAGTTGCGGCCAGCAAAAGGGCTCGTCGCTCGCTGATGAGAGCCAGCGACTGTGCGTGTTGCTTCTAAGTTCTTCACAGAATCTGCACATGCCCTGAATCTCAGAGGCCTTGAACCTCCAAAGCCGATGCCAGGCCGACTCTCTGCTGGTTCTTTGCGCTGGCGCCTCCTGGCAGCTCGCCTCGCGCTGCAGGTTTCGGGTCCCGGAATTTGAGGGCTCAAAAGGGCGCAGGGTTTTGGGGGTTTAGGGCTCGGGGATTCGTGGCAAGAGGGGGGTTCAGGGTTCGGGGGTTTTAGGGTTTTGGTGTAGAGACGGTTTAGGGCTTTAGGGTTTCCGGTTGCCGGGTTCAAGCCAGTAGGGCTTTGACGTTTAGGGCGACACTGCAAATTACAGAGACCCACGCGCAGAGAGCATTTTCGCCAGCCAGTGCCAAGTGCCAGTGTTGGGAAATCGTTCACATGCGCAGGGCATCAGCCAGGGTTTCTTTGTCACAAACCGGGGAGTGGGGCCAGTGGGAATCTCCATAGTTTGAGCTCGCCATGCTTCGCGTTCGAAGCCTTGCCGGACGCGAGCTTGCGACGGTTACTGAGGAGGAGGTTGCTGCCTTGGCCGATGCACACGGAAGTGTCGTCAAGGGCATTGAGCAGCTCGTGTCCCCCCTTGTCGGCCAGCCATGCTGTCGGCTGAAGCTCCTCAGCGGAAACACAGTGCTTAATCAAGACGCCAGCTTGACGCTACCTTTCGAGTTGCAAGTAACTGTTTGCAACTATGTCGAGGTCGATGCAGGTGACGTTGACCGGCTGTCCAGCGCAAGTCAAGAAAACGATGCTGCCACGGTGGAGGCCTTGCTTCGGCGTCCTCAAAACCCTGACTTGGTGGATGCCCAAGGTCGGACGGCAGCGATAGCGGCCGCCGAAAGTGGGGCGCTGGATTGCGCAAAGCTACTCGTGTGCGCGCGTGCGGACCTCAACAAGCCCCACGAGCACTTCGGTGCCACAGCTGTTTTTGCTGCATCTCGGAATGGTCGCCTTGACGTGGTGAGCTGGCTGATTGAGCAAGGTGCCGATAGGGACAAAGCGACGAACCATGGTTTCACACCTGTCTTCATCGCAAGTCAGGAGGGTCACCTTGATGTGGTGCGCCTACTGATTGATAAGGATGCTGATAAGGAGAAGGCAACACGCAATGGAGCAGCGCCTGTCTTCATCGCAAGTCAGCACGGTCATCTTGAGGTGGTGCACTTGCTGATCGAGAAGCATGCTGACAAGGACAAGGCAATGAACGATGGGGCAACGCCTGTCTTTATCGCAAGTCAGACGGGTCACGTTGATGTGGTGCGGTTGCTGATTGAGAAGGGTGCCGACAAGGACAGGGCAGCGAACGATGGTGCAACGCCCATCTGTATCGCGAGTCAGGAGGGTCACCTTGATGTTGTGTGTTTGCTGACTGAGCACGATGCCGACAAGGACACGACAACGATCGATGGCTTTACACCCGTCTTCGTGGCAAGTCACCATGGTCACCGCGACGTGGTGCGCTTACTGATTGAGAAGCATGCTGACAAGGACAAGGCAACGAACGATGGGGCCACGCCTGTGTTTATCGCAAGTCAGGAGGGTCACCTAGAGGTGGTGCGCTCACTGATTGAGTTAGGTGCCGACAAGGACGCGCCAGACAATAGAGGTACCACTCCTGTCTACATAGCAAGTCAGAATGGTCACCTTGATGTGGTTCACCTGCTGACAGAAAAGCGTGCCGACAAGAACACGGAAACGGACGATGGTGCAACCCCTGTCATGGCCGCAAGTAGGAATGGCCATATTGATGTTGTGCGCTTTCTGGTTCAGACGGATGCCGACAAGGGCAGTGCAAAGCACCCTGTCTTAGTCGCAAGTCACCATGGTCACCTTGATGCGGCAGGCTTGCTCATTGAGAACGTTGCACAAGAAGGACGCGGCAAGAAACGATGGTGTAACACCTGTCTACACCGCAAGTCTAAAAGGTGACTTGGATGTGATGTCCTTGTGGATTGACCAGGGTTCCGACAGAACCGAGGGAACACTTTGACGCAATCCCGGTCTCTTCATCGCAAGTCGGAAAGGTCGCGTTGATACGGTGCCGACAAGGAAACAGCAAGTAACGATGCTGCAACATCGCAGTGGGACCGGGCTCACTTAGCGCATGGTGTGCCGGAGCACCATAAGCCAACATGCAGAGGAGACAGATGTCCTGCGTGAACTGAGCAATGTTAGCACGAAAAGTCTACTCTCGAAAGTTTCGCCACGCGATTCACGTGAAGGACAGGGGGGCGACCTGCAAGCATCTGTCTTAAAAGCGGGCTTTTCTCGATATGTCGGCTTGCTTTACAACTCGGTGTCAGTGTGAGAAGGGTGTTGTATGTATTTTGTCAAGGACCTGGGATTGGAGTGCAAACGAGCATTGCCCGGCAACTTGCCAGGTGTTCATATTCTTCACCTTTGCGAATCCCTCAAAATCCCAAAACTTTAAACCACCGAAAAATTTGAATCTTGAAAGCAGGAGCAGCGACAGGCCTAGCAGGAGGTCACGAGCCTGGACCTAGGCCGTGATCCCAGGGGTTGCAACAATGCGCACCATGAAGATTGCCCTAATGCTTGCTATAAGGGTTCTATGAGACCTTACACCCCTCACACGTGCTAGAGCCAGCAGAATTGTATTGCAATACAAGCGAGTTTTGAGGGTGATGCGTGAGAACAAGCATGTGAGCACCAATCAGGTTTGCCGTGTCTTTTGTGACATAGCCGGGGCAATCTTGTGCCAAAGCACGCATTTCGGGATGGGAACGCCGATCCCAGCAACATCGTCCGAAGGCCTAAGGGGCCTCTGGACGCTTGAGACGACATTGGCTAGATTGCAAGCACGGGTTTGAACAAATGTGCATGATGTGAAGAGGGGATGTTTTTCAGAATCATCCTGGTGCTTGCTTGCTTGCCTTTAGTGTGCATCGGCTCGTCGCCAGAGGTGCGCCACCTGCTTCGGCTTATCCTCGCCTGCAGCGATTCGTTGATTGCCCGGGCCTGACATGTGTTGCACAGCTTGGAAGACGAGCTTCGCAAGGGTGCCTGGGTGTCTGCGTTCCGATTGAGGCGGTTTAGGGCCTGGGGGGCTTGAAGACCTGACTCAGGATTCTGGACTCCTCCAAGAGCTTAGGGGAACGCAGCTGCGATGTTCCACCCGTCATAGTAACACCGGCAGCAAAGCGCTAAACCCCAGACCCCAAAACCCTGCACTTTGAACCCCTTACGTCGCGACAGCTCGACAAGAGGTTCGGGGCAGGTTTGAGTCGTTTTTCTAGCAGCTACAGCTCGCAGCAGCATGCAGATAAAGCAGGATTTACATGAGGGTCTTAGGGCTCGGCTTGAGGGTTTAGTTTGATGTATTTGAGGCCGCGTTTAAGCAGTATCTGTGAGCGCACATTTTTCAGCTTTGATCATGGGGAGACAAGCGCTGCGAACCTTGCCAAACCTGCTTTCGACTTCGAGGCCTCAGGACCTGAAGCAGACTCTGAAAGCCACCCTTATATACAACCCTTAATGGAACTCGTCCAAAGAGCTCTAAGGAGAATGAGTCTACCTTCTCCAGCATTGCACCACGCGAAGCTTTGAGCGATGGTCGCGGCCTGGGCTTGAGGGGCTCTGAGCGTAGATGGTTTTTAGAGTGTGAAGAAACAAAGGTCCTGGTTGTAGGAAGTCAGGATTTGGGGTTTAGGGCTTGGGGTTTACGCTTTGGGGTGTAGGGTGGGTGTGTGTGTGTGTGTGTGTACTTCGGGTATGTGAAGGGGGTTCACGTACTGAGGGCAGTTTCTCAAGCAGTGCAGGAAATCTTGTTTCTGAACAGCTTGTCCAGCATGTTCATGTGGAACGGTTCATGAGTCCTTGTCACAAGCCGGGCAAGCCTTCGTTATTCAAGCCGTCGTGCTTTGCATTCGACACCTTTCCGTACGGTTCAGGCCTTGCTTCGGCACCCGCGAAGTGGCTGAGGCTCAGCTGCGAAGCTCCTTTCTGGATGAGGAAGCCTGAGGTGTATTCCATGTTGGTCAAGCCAGGGACTCGGGACTACAGGCCTGTTTTCTGTGTCCCTGGCCTGGGCAGCATGGAAGGCAGAGCAGAGCACTCAAATTGAGAGGTGCGATGATGGTGGCAAGGATGTTGACGATGATGATGACGATGAGAATGATGATGGTGATGAGGAAGATGATGTTGTTGTTGCTGTTGTTGATGATGATAATGATGATAATGATGAAAACGATGATCTCTCTCTCTCTCTCTCTCTCTCTCTCCCTCCTTCTCTAATCTCTCTCTAAATGCGGATGTATATTTTCATCGTAGCGTGTTGACACCACGCCTATACGCGCAGCATGGCTCTGCAAGCGTGACGCTTGGCTTTGCATGAGCTTGCAGCCCATCTCGCTGTTGCCGAGGTCTTCGCCGTGCATTCCGTGTTGCCACCGACGCTGAGCCCGCTGCGGCTGAGGCCATTGCCTGCAAACGACATTGTTTCTTGGTGCAGCTTTCCGTTTAGCTCAAACGTAGCAAGTGCGAATGCGATGTGGAAGTTCACCTGCAAAGCACTGCACCCTCAGCACTGGGTATGTCTTTGGAGTTGATTTGTGCTGCTCCTCTTAAGTTTCGAACAAAAATGTTCTGTAGCCTGTCACTTCTTTTCAGCACAAAGCCAACGCCTGTAATCCTAAGCCCTAAACCCCAAGCGCTAAATCCACGTCCCGCACCAGGCCGGCAGTTATTTGATCGCAGTTCCGACGGCCGCAAAATGCTGATTGCCACTATTGCTCCCATGTAGGGCAATCAAGCAAGGTTCTTCGAGGGTTCTGTAGGGGTTCTATAAGGAATCTTTCAGGCTTCTCGGGGGTTCTGTCGAGGGCTTATATATCGGTGTCTTTATGGCGAGTTACACTCCCGTTTGGAAAGACGACGTGCTCTGCTTTGCGTCAAGGATCCAGCTTGAAAATGGCCCCACTGTGCTCTCTTTCGACAGTGCAGGCGTTCTCATACTCTACACCCGTAAACTCCTAAATCCCCCGGGACTTGGGTATTGGAGCCGTTGCGCGGTCGATGGATGAGTTTTCAGGGCCAGGGCAGCTCGGGCTTCTTGTCAGGATTTTGCTTGAGGTGCGTGTAGCTGTTGACGTGGCTGTACATATCGGCGTCCTCGACAGACCTGCACGTTCGTTACTCAAACCCTGAACCGAACCCCCAAACCTACACTCTCTGCCGACACTTTGTCGCTACGCTGCTTCACGCTGCCATCGTGCCCGAGCTGACATGGAGAGCAGGCCCGGTTCTAGCCGTCTAAGCCCGACCCCGATGCCAAATGCTGCGTGCAGTGGGCCGCTTCCAAGAACTTTGTCGGAGTATAAACCTTAGAACAACTCTACACCATCCTACACCTCTAACCCCAAGAACCAACACGCAACACAACAGGTTTGCATTAACCCTTGCAATCTTTGCGCACCCCAGGGTTTAAGCTGAACCTTGCATGCACAGCTTTAGTCCTAGCGATGCGAACCCTTGTTCGTGTGGGGCTTCTTGGGATGTGTAGGTGCACCCTTTTTAGAGGTCCTTAAAAGTAGCCGGACGGTGTATGGTCCATATCAGAGTGCCTTCTCATGGTTTGCCGATGCTGTTGGCCTCTCTGCTTGTTGCCGACCGCACTGGCTCTGGTGCCTCAAGTGCAGCTGCTCAGACATGTCAAAGATAGGGCCCGTGAACATAAGGATCACATAGGATCACACGATTTAGGGGTTTCCGGAATGCGGGCTTTGGCAGGGAATTTCTTGGTTTTGAGATCTTTTCGGTCTTGAGGAAAATTAGTGTTTCTAAAGGGTTTTGGGATTTTTATGCAGCTCCTTTTGGATTCTACTGCGGCTTGTATCGGGTCCTAAACCGTTCTTCGAGATTCAGGGGACCTAGTAAGGTATGACAGTTATGAGCAAGGTTGCGAATGTGATAACCCTGAAAGTCCCACACATATCCAACTTCCGAGGTCCCATGAACCTGAATTTAAGGGACCGTCGTAGGGACAGACTGGTACCATTATGTTCGGGGGAGCTGCACGTGGCAGGACAAGGCTCCCGGCGGGGCACGGTACATATTTTCGAGGAAAGTCCAATTGTATTCACAGTCCTGCTGTGGCCACGTCGGCCGGAGATGCGCGGTACCTGTAAATTCAACGCATTGGCATCATTTTTGCCTGCGAAACGTCCTGGCACAGCCGCACTATTGGTCTCTCAGCTCCGTCCGTGTGGTGGCCTAAATGAAACCTGCCAGGTAAGTCGGGAAATCGGTGATTTCAACACGCTGGAAGTGTTCCCGTGAAAGTTGTGCTCCTGCCCTGCAGTTCCGTCCAGAGACTGGGGTGGGACTTGTCTGCGTGCTCGATCCAGCATCATGGTGCGGGTGGTGGTGATGATGGTCCCGTTTTGGTCGTGGCGTGGTGGTGGTCGTTGGTCGTGGTGGTCCTCGTCGCGGTCGTGATGCTGTCGTCGTGGTGCTCGCGTTCGTCTGGCTCGTTAGTCGCAGTCCAGGGCATGTACCGCTGACATAGCTGATATGCTTTCCTTATTTCGATTATCATCTTGTAAGCTAAGCCCCCTGAGCAAAAACCATGTTCGAGCCCTCGTGAAGTGAAGTTCGACGATAAGAAGCCATCTCAGGTTCGTCCTGCCAAGTCTTGACGCGTATGAGGGCAGCGACTTTGAGTGTGGAGCCAGGCGTTGCAACTAGGCCTTAGATTGCTTTTTCTGTTGTCGTTTGTTCCTTTGTTTGCTTGCTCGTTTGTTTGTTTTGTTTGTTTGTTGTTGGTTTAGGGGCTGCGATTGGAGTCTTTTGGTTTTCTGGTGTAGTGTTGTGTGTGTATCGTCGCTTCATGAATGACCTAGGGACTGTTGAAGGGATGGGATGCCCGCCCTTGTTTGCCTTGACTACAGTACTCCTGTCGAACCTAAACCCAGAATCCTGGACCTTCGCCCTGAGCCGTCTTTCTGGGGCCTGTCATCCTGCACGCCTTGGCAGTAAGCTTAACGCCCTAAGACCTAGACTGGCTTACCCGTCCTGTGTAGAAGCATTAGATGTGCGGCAAGAGCAACATCGCTTTCTTGTTTCGAGGCGGATATGTTGAGACCTCCGGGGCCGAAAGGGTTAAGGTTTCGGGTTTAGGGTTTCTCGTTTAGAGCGAGATCCCTGAAATAGAAACCCTCATGATAAGACCTTTGTGGCACCCTCAGCGAGACCTTCATGGAGAAACAACGAGACCTTCATAGAAACCTTTATGTAGACCTTGAACTTGAGGGTTAGCTAGGTGGCTCCTCATTTTCTCTATGCGGCCTGACCCACATGTTCCGGGGTTTTTGCAGGGGCTCAGCGCTGTCAGTGTGCTTGACCGAGCCTGCAGCAAAAGTTGCCGTGGCTCGCCGTTGCGGTCGTCGTCACCGTCGCAGTCGTCCCAGTGACTGGCACCGTCGTGGTTGTCGTTGTGGTCGAGGGATGTCGAGGGTGTACAGTCACGGCTTGGCTTTTGAGGGTCTAGGGGCTTTATGGGGTTAAGGGCATTGTGTTTAGGCGGGGCTCTCTGGTTTTAGGGTCAAACCAGCCGGTCGCAAAGGCAACCTCTTCTCCCTTGGCATCATTCGCTTTCCAACGGACGCACCTTTGTCCTGCAACATTGTTTTGCTGTTTTGGGTTTAGGGCTTCAGGGCATGGGGTTTAGGGTTTGTCAGTTTTTCTTTTCAGCATTTTTGATTGAATGGTAGGACAAAGGGTGCGAGTACACATGCCTCAGGGAAGAGTGTGGCACCAAGGAGCTTTTCGTCGCGAATGTGCGAATCCTGGAAGACAGCAATGCCACTCGAGGCCACCGTATTCCGCAACGTGCCGATTACCACCGAAAAGCCCGAAAATTTGACCTTGCGAATCCGCAGAACTCAAGAAGGACTCATAGGTTTCTGTTGGCTTTAAGATGAGCGTGGAGCAGGGCTGTCAATTCCTAAATCCGAACTTCTAAACCCGAAACCCTAAACCATTGCTTGCAGCCCTAAACCCGAAACTCTAACCCTGAACTCGGGAGGCGTCGATTTCGAGTTCTACCCGGATGCGGCTGCCTGTCCACAAGCCAACCAAAACCTGAATCCTACCACGGTTCAGGAGCTGGGTGTGGGTCTAAGGCTGTTCTGCTCAGAGGCTCAGGGCACTTCGTTCGCGGTTTTCATGCGGTCTATAATCGGCATGAGCCCATGATGGCTCTGTTGACCCTGCAGCCCATGAATCCTTCAAGCATAACCCTAAACCTCAAGCCTGATTCAGAAGTGCCCCTCATTCCTGTGGTCCTCAGACAAGCCATAACCCTACATATGGCCCCAAATCCTAGATTCTAATTGGAGCCCTCAGAGATCCCTTCATGAAATTCCCACCAGCCCTATAAGCTTCCTGTAATAAACAGGCCTTGTCACCCTTAAACCCTAAACCCTAATCCCTAAACCCCGAACCTTAACCCGACGAATCCCCCAAAAGTTCTCGCGAATCTTCGTCACTCCGAGGTGACGTGGCAGGCCGGAGACGTCAACTCCCAGGCTCCTCTGTAGGATTTCGACGGTAATGTAGGAGCCTGAATAATTAGAATAGGGTTTGGGGGTATATTACACTATAGATAGAATAAGGGCCCACCAAACCCTATTCTAATTATCAAGGCCCCTACATGTCGGCCTTTTGAGTTTAGGGTTTAGGGCTAAGGGTTGTTATGCTGTTTTTCCTTGCGAGCCCGCTGTTAGGTTTGTAGGGGCTTGATGTAGAAGCCTGAAGACATAGACTACTATTCCGCTTTGTTATATTTACCTTTTTTTGTTTGATCTGCTTGTTGTATTGGGAAGTTTTGCAAATAGTACCACTACTACTTCTGGTGAGGGAAGGTAGAGTGTAGGGCTCAGACATTCGGAGGGCTTTCGTATTCAGTGTACGGGCTCAAGGTTTTTGGACTGGGACTTCAAGCAAGCGTTTCCCGGTTTTCTGCTGCATCAGAAGTGTTTGTTTCGACATTGGAACCTTCTTCGAGATGTTCTCACGCCAGTCAAGGCGCGAAGCTTAATTATTCCTGGCCTGGAAATCAGGAGACCCAGAACCTGAGCATGACCTAAACCCCAAATAAAGTCCTGCTTGTTTGTGGGAAGCAGGCTATCCTACTCTTCATCTTCGACGATGACTTAGCGGAAAAGATGAAGGCCGTTCCCTCCCCACCCCCGCGGTGTCGCTGAGCAAGCCATGCATAGAGTCTGGCTGGGGGGGCCATGGCTTAGGTTTTAGGGTTCAGATGTAGGGTTTAGGGTTGATTAAGGATTTAAATGTTTGGGTTTAGGCTTTGAGGCTTGTTTTACTCTGACATGCTGGTTGCGGTTAAGGGCTGGGTAGGTGGCTAGACGATGATGATTGGAGATGTCCTATGAAGTGCTTGCATTTCACATCCTGCATGTTACGGTGTCGAGCAAGTCTTGGTCTTGAGTTGCTGGTTTGGGTTTCAGTGTTGGAGGCTGCGAACCAGAAGCCTGAAAGCAGCTCTACATTCTCAGCTTCGTCAATCCTGCAGCCCAAAACCCTAGGACCCAAAGCCCCCAACTCCAGAGTCGCCAAAAGCCCTGCACTCCAGCAACACTTATACAATCCCGTAAACGCATTCTCAAAGCCCTGCTGACACCCCGAGAACCACTTTCTGCCTAAAATTTAGGACCCTGCGACCTCGAAGCCCCCAAGAACGCATAGACTCCAAAACCCACCAATGGAGGACTATGCCGCAAAACCTCTTGTTCGGGATCCTTTCTAAAGACGAATGCATATACCTTCATCTTCAGTAAGGACACCGTATACCAGCTTACATTCCTGAATTTATGGGTTTCTGGAAGCACAAGGGCGCCTTGTCTTGTCAGTTCCTTCACCTGGGCTTTGACGTTTTAGTTCCGGCGACTGCGAACAATGAGTCCAAGATGGAGGCGGCTTGGTGCTTTAGGCTCAGGCCTTCAGGATAAAGGCGGTCTGGGGTTCTGGAGAAATCTCACGGCTTAGGGCTTCAGGGCGTTCATGATCTTTAGGGGATCTCTTACGGGTGAACTTTGGGGCCCAGGGTTTTACAGGGATGGCAGAGTTTCCTACAGAGACTTAGGGTTTTGGGCAGTCTGGTTAACCCGGGTATAGGAGTGGGGCATGTTGTCGGTATATTTGGGGGTGTGGTGGTTGGGATGTCTTTCGGGGGGCTTGGTGGCTTTGAAGTGCTGAAGTGGTCTTCTGCTTCGGGGATCCCGGTCTGGCTTTCAGTTTTGGCTTTCTGGACTCTAGGAAAAGGGGACTGCGAGCTGAACCGAAGCGCTGTTTATTGCCCAAGCGATTCACCTGACAAGTTGAATCTCCAAATCGTTGCTCGGAAGGATGTGCGAATGTGCTACCTTTGTTGGCGCACCCAGCCGCCAAGCATGGGGGACTCCGCGGTACTCGGGTGCTCGGGGGGCTTGTATCCGGAGGTGGAAGAAGTCTCAGGTTATTGCCTCCCAAGCCGGACAAACGAAAGCTTATACCCTCAACATCTTTCATTAAACCCTGAAGCCCTAAACGTTAGACCCCTACAAAAAAACTTGGAAACCATTCTCAGAAGCCTGTCAAGGAAGCCTTAAAAGGAATCCCTAAAGCAACCTTGAAAGGAACCCTGCAACGAACCCGTGAAGGAGAACTTTGTAGCTTCAAGACATTGCAACCTAGAGTGTCAACTCTCACCAGCCCATGCTTCCGAACCCCACCCTAGCTCAAAAACCCAGAATAGAAGCCCAACCGGAAGAACGCCCTACAAAAGTCCTGGTCCTATAAGAGCCTACACAAACGGATAAAGCCGCATGAAAGCAAACACCTTTGAAAGCCTTTAACACTTGCCGCCGCGAGCGGGAAGTTCGAAACCCCAAACCTCAGATCTTCATCCGGGACGACAACGATGGAGGGAACCTGGTCATCACCCCGAACCATGGCCCTAAAAGGATTTGCGGACTGTTGTTTTTTTTTGCTTCCATACTCTTCAATCCTAAACCCTTCAAAGGAAGCCAGCTAAGGAACTTTGCTCGGGTTACTGAGCGCTACGGCACTGGGGAGTGCGTCTTCTACGGGGATCGGCAAGGAGGCGGGGTTACTAGAATTTTCTGATTTTGGGTTGAAGGTTCAGGGTTCGGCAACTTGCACTTAAGGGTATAGAGTCCGGGCTGGAAGACTCCGATCCTTCTCTCTCATGGTTGCCTCTGGGGCGAAGAGATTAGACTTCGATGTCAGTGTATATTTCCATGGAGATGATTATAACTGAATAGTGGTCATAACAAATACACTTGCTATGAGGGGGGATACACTTGCTAGTTGTTCATACTCTTCTATTAGTCCCAAACCTCCAACCCTAAAGCCCAACACCCTAAACCTCGTCTAAAACCTGAAAAAACCTGACATCCAAAACTGTAAGCTCCAACAGCTTTAAAGTCCAAGCCTACCCCGAACTGTTTAGGATTTCTTGTGGTGAATAACCTTTATAGGAACACTTGCAGTAGCCTATTCCAGAACCCCATAGTACCCTTATGGAACCCCGGGTAGCAACCGGTTCACCCGGATTTCGGTCCCCGTGAGGCACGAGTGGTGCGGCAGGAGCTTTCGTGACTAAGGCCGGCTTTATCCACTCAAAACCCCGTGCCCCTTTTCTAAGTAAGGTCGTATGGGGATTTAGAGAAAATTTAGAGGGTTTGAGAGGTAAGGTCTTGTAGTTGCAAAGTAAGGTGTGAGAGCTTAAATCATCTTGAAGAGCCCTCCATAATTTCAGGTCTATTCCTTAACTCAAGCGTGTGGTGGTCTCTGTGTCTCCGAAACTCCAACTCTTTAGGCGTGATTGCCAATGAAATCCCTTAGGGTTCCTTATCATCAAGATACTAAAACACGTCCCAACATCCTTTTCTAATTCTGAAGGCTCTATGGGCCTAAACCCTAGAGCCTATACCTAGAAGGGAAGACCGCATGTTCAGATACCGTAATACTCACACTGACACTACAAGAACAAGCGATAATGCTTCGAACGGGTTGCTGCAGTATATCATACTATAAACATCTTACAACGTGCTCGCCCATACCCTTCAACTTCAAGGAATTTCCAGGCCAAATGAACCCTTGACTTGTACACACCCTAGAAAAGCCTAGCATCCTCCATGTAACGAGTTTACTCTGACAGTGTGTGCTAACTATGATGTTTGGCTCAACATGGAAAAGAGTGCATGTACATACCTTGGCGATAATGGAGCCCTGAATGGCACTCGGTTTGGAGACTTCTTCAAAGATGATCGGCTTGACTCCACTTGTGCCCCAGTCCTGCCCTTGCAGCAATACCACTATTACCTGACACGAATGCATCGGCGCCTTGTTGTAGTTCCGTGGTTTGCACGCACTGTCGGAGGAAGTGCAGCGCTTTCGCAGCATAGCTGCCGTGGCCAAAGCTGTGGACGTCTGCACAAGTGTCGAAAGCTGCAGCGAGGGTCGCGAGTCCCGCGCCGTTCTGGGCACCGGCGCGTTTGGAAAAGAAGCCTTGCGCAAATGCATAGGCCTTGAAGAAGTCTCGCATGCGGTTCTGAGGCATAGGCAACTGGAGTCCGATTTGGAGGTCGAGCGGCAGGCCTTGCAAATGACTCGGATTCTCCTTTCGTTGTGCGCTTATTTTTTTCGGGCATGTTGGCCACGAAACGATGTTGGTGTTTGAGGTTTGGCAGGATGCGGTTGACGTCTGTGAACAACTTGCTGTGTGGGGCAAAACTCAGATGACAGCATGTGGCTGCCGTGGTGGAGACGCTCTCCTATATCAGCGCAAAGAGCATCTATGACAAAGGGACGTGACGCCCAAGAACATGTTGCTAGACGCTGCGAACACCTGCAAGCTTTCCGATTTCGGGTCGGCGAAGGTTGGTGTCGGGCGCCCGTGCCGTTTGGTCGGCACACACTGAATACGCGGCTCCGGAAACGATCACCAATTTCGGTCACAATGCATTCATGGACTGGTGGGTGGCTGCGTCCCGTGTGAGCTCTTTGCGGGCAAGATGCTTTTCAGCGGCAAGCGGAACGAAATTTTCAGTGCCGTTTTGCAGGGCTTTGTCCTTGCATGCGTATGGCCAGGAATCAGCGGTAGGTGAATGGCTGTTGCACCAGCTGAAGTTCTGAATTCAGGAATACATTTTCGTCAGATTGCTATGCATCAACTGCACGGTTTCTTTCACGTCAGAAGGGGGCAGTTCACGAATCAGAGCATCGTGCATGTAAAGAGGTCAATCTGTGACGGCGCAAAAAAGGAGTTCGAATTATGACGATTAGCTCAAGCAGCTGTGAGCCTTCTTGGTTCGGCGCTTTCTCGGACGTGGGCCCTAACGCAGTCCGTCGTCGTGACGTTTGTTCCCACACCAAACCTCGTTGTTCGGCTAGGAAGGCATAATTGTTCATTGCGGCCGCGCGGGGGGGAGAATTAAAGTCGTCCGCGCCACTCGCGCCACTCGCGCCACTCGCGCCACTCGCTCTGGTAAAGGAAAGAGTGGTGGAGCGAGTGGCACGAGTGGAACACGCTTCTAGTGGAGCGACTGGCACGATTGGAACGGTGGAGTGGCTGGTCCGTAAATAGACGACCGGACTATCAACATCCCAAAACCTCGGCCGCGCCACTCGCGCCACTCGCGCCACTCGCGCCACTCGCTCCACTCGCGCCACTCGCTCCACTCGCGCCACTCGCGCCACTCGCCCCACTCGCGCCACTCTGTATAGACATACAGTACGGAGAGCGAGTGGAGCGAGTGGAACTGTGGAGCGAGTGGAGCGAGTGGAGCGAGTGGCACGAGTGGAGCGAGTGGAGCGAGTGGAGCGAGTGGAGCGGTAGAGCGAGCGGAGCGAGTGGCACGAGTGGAGCGAGTGGAACGAGTGGAACGGTAGAGCGAGTGGAGCGAGTGGAGCGAGTGGAACAGACGGTTTAGCGCCCCCCAACGCCGACACTCTCTAATTGTTAAACACTCAAACCCGAGAACCCAAACCCTTAAACGATACCCCTAAACCACAATTCCTGGATTGTAAGACCTTGTCACACCGTATAAAAGCCGTGAGGCGAACTGTGCGGGAGGACTGCCCGAGGCAGACTCCCTCGATCTGCTTTTCCTCCCAGCGGAGCAAGCGCAGGCCAGGGTTTAGGGTGTAAGAACGGGTCATGAGACATGCTTGTCGTTTTTTCAGTTGCCATACAGTTTGTGGTTACAACCAAATGAAGTGGATCATCACTCTCGCGGTTGTGGTCAAGGTCGTTTGGCTATGATTATTGATGCTGTTTTTTTGCCTCGGGTACTATTACTATTGTTTGCACTGTGTGGGCTGTTGTTGTCATTATTGTTGCTATCGGTTTTGGTATTTCAATCGATTTTGGGTAACTTTAGCGCCTGCACCTCAGTTATCATGTTGTTATGCGCATGGTGCATGCCACAATCATTTTCTGCGTAGTGATTGCTTCTTGACAGTGTTTTTGCATCCGCTATTGTCAATGATTTTTTGTTTTTTGGGTGTTGTTGTTGCAGAGGGTGTGACCTTGGGCTGATGCTGGACTCACTTGTTTCGTGGCGAGCCTCTGTCGATCCCGTCTTCTGCGTAGTCGTCGCGAAGGATACCACGTATCGCTGCCCCGTCAAGACGGTTGCTGTTGTTGTTGTTGTTGGTTTTTCTTCTTCTTTGCCTTCATTTTGTATATCATACAGCAACACTGGATGCTCGTTTCGGGATGAGAGCTTAGGGCCTTCGGGTGGAAAGTGTACCGGGGTGTTTCGCTATGGAGGGTCCGAGCAAATTCAATTCCGCTAGTCATTCGAATGGCAGCATGGTCATAAATAATGCTGCCGGCCGTGATCGTGTTGTATTGCAAAAACCGTACTACATTCTCCACTTTGAACGTTACGCCATGAAGCCCTCATCCAAACATCGCGTGTAAAGCTTAAGACAAACCCAAACCATAATTGAAAACGATCCTAGCAAAAAGGCAGAAGCAAAGCTGAACGCGACCGTCTGTGTTTCCCTTCTCTCAGACAAAGCGGCCAAAAAACTTGAACCGAACCTTACATTCCGAAACTCAAAATCGAAAAATCCCATGCGCAGCGTAAACCAAAGCTTAAGCCCTGCACCAACACTACACCTTAATTGGAAATTGCCCCCAAGGCGACCCTGAAGCCTGGAGCCCTCGGCCTCGCAGGTGTGGGCTGACGGAGAGAGTGGTCCGAGATGTCTTCTCATGTCCATCCACAAGGACGACTCTTGGTGCCTGCGAAAACTCGGGGGCTCGGATGGTCTGTAACATAGTCCTACTCGAACTACGGCATGGTTCCTTTACCCAAAACCCTTTTCTAGGTATTCAGGCCGGTATGTTATGGTTTCTTTTGTTTTTTGGGGTGTGTTCAAACGCTTTTTGGGAGTAACCATGTAGTTGTGTTGAAAAATTCTGATGAAGTTTTCGAAACACTCCACAACCCTAGATCGAGAGTTGGATGCTTTTGCAGCAGGGCCTGTGAGCCCAGCAGCTGAGGACTACATCAAGAGCTTCACCTCCGAGGACTTCGGTTTCTGCTTATTTTGAGAACTAATTTGAGATGAGGGTTTGGGATGTAGGGTTTGTGATTGGGCTTCGGCTTAGGCTTAGGGCTTGCGGTTTAGCGTTTAAAAGTGGAGTTCCAGGAACCCATGAACAGCAGCGTGGCCAAATTGGTCATAATCCCTGATGCTGAAAGGGAGCCAGACGAGCATATTTGCCTCAATGTCTCACAGATTGCGGGGAGCACGACGACTTTACGCAAGGACCAGCTGCAAGTAGCCTTCGTTGTCACAGATGTGGACCTGGATGCAACACTCGATTTGGACTGCACTCGCGGCTTCGGGTGCCTGGTGGACCTCTCTGAAACTTGGTTCTGGGAGTTTGATACCGGCACCCTCCAGGATGCGTCCAGCTCGAACTCTGAATGTTTGCCTTGCCAAGATGTCGAGAACTCGAGTGACTCCATCAACTTTACGGTGGCTCAAGATCCTTGGATATGGGAGAGCTCTACCCTCTAAGATCACGGCCCGTTTTTCTTGAAATAATCTTTACATAGGCAGCCTACTACGTAGGGCGTGCACAGCACAGGGGATTTTTATTGTCTGAAACTCGCAGTATCGGTTTCAGATGTGGTCGTGCCCATATGAACCGTAAGTAGTCCTAAAGTAGGTCGCCTAGAAAAGACTCAAAGAAGGAACCCAAAAGTTTATCAGGGTTCCTTTACGGGTTTCTAGAAGGATTCCTGCATGGGCTCGTCAGCTTGGGTTTGTGCGCTTAGTATGACAGAACCGACAGTCAGCAGATTTCCGTTAGTGGCGCCGTCCCGTCTCTACACACCTGAGCTTAGGCGCATGGCAAAAGGCCTTGCAACAAAAGCCCAAAGCGGACCCCGAAGCCCTTAAGCCGCAGCCTCAACCTCCACCTTTTAAACTCTGAACCCAGGATCCTCAGGTCCTAAGCCCTCAGCCTTCCTCAGGATTTTGCTACGGGTCAAACCTTCGTAGACTTTGGCGACTTTTTTCATGACCAGAAGCCTGGCGACAAGTTGCTCTGCTGGTGCACCTACACCTCCAGTGCGCCTTTGGGAGAGGGATTGTTGTTCTGTATGCTTTTTGGGCTTTCAGGTTTGTTGAGGTCTAAGGCTTACAGTTTAGGGTGTTGGGCTCGCAAGAGTCGGCTAACGGTTAGGGCCGTGTGAGGTTTAGGGTTGTCGGTGTGTTTTGATGTTGCTATAGTAAGAAGTGGCACTTCCCTTGTTTCTGAAAGCCTAGTCGGAGGCACTTACGGACCACAATTTGGAGACTTCCAACCCTGCCTGCTGCTGCATGTAAACTTCCAAGTCGAGAGTCCAACCAATTGGTACCCCTCGCTCGACAGCATGATCTTAGCAACCCAAGACCAAGCCGTGTAGTTTTCGTAACAGTATGAGAGCGACCTACCCGACATCCACTTGTGTCGTTCCAGAGCCGTAACATCCTAAAGCCCAAGCCCTACACGTGGCCCTAATTCTTGAATGTAGCCTAAAGCCCGAAACTTCTCAAACCTAAACCCCGAAACACTGCATGCTAAGCCCTAAATCCTGTAACCCTAAATTTCACCAAAACGTACAGAACCGTAAAAGGAACCCTTAAAGGAACCCCAAACCCTCGCAGCCCAATCAGGTGCACCTGGCGACACTCAAGCTCCAAGGGCCTTCCCTGAACAATGCTGCGCAGTGCGTGAGAAGTTGGCCCACCTGCGAGATTCCATTTCTGGACGGGGTCGGCTTTCAGGCGCATCACAGGGTCGAAGGTTTCAGAGTTTGGGTCTTGCGGTTGAGGTTTCGGGTTTCTTCGGTTACACAGCTTGATGATTTAACCTTGCTGTCCAAGGTGAAGGTTGACGGTTCAGGGTTCAGATGTAAGGTTTACTGATCGAGGTTAAGGGTCTTAAGGTTCAGGGCTGATGTCAACGGTTTAGAGCACTTACGCACTTACGGTTCACGGATGTTCAGGGTCTAGGGTTTCACAAACCCCAAGCAGTACATCCCCAGACTTAACAATCAAGCCAATGAAGCCATCCAGAAGCTGGAGCGACGAACTGTGGACAAAAGCAGATGTGCATCGATGTGTTACATTCCCAACACT